CTCCACATTATTTGAGCTAATACATGATGATTATTGAGTAATACCTTCCATCTGAAACATTTTATTACTATTATATTCAGAATATAACAGATTAGAACTAGTAATCTATTTTAGCAATATCGAACTTGACTTAAAGCCTACATATTCCAAGAAATAATGAGCAGATATTTGAAGGATTTTATAAAACCATTCTTAATGGAGATATATGCTCTGTAAAGGAATTATATCCACAATATTTTAACTCAAATATAACTCATGCTGATTGTAACAGATTATTTGGTGGAATATTGAACAGAGGATTGCTTCTTTCAATTAAAAAGGCTTTTGATACATTTTAAGAACTGTACGAAATGTATTCAATAACAGAATAATTATACATTATATGATGAATGGATTTTATTCCAGTACTAGTACTCATATATAGATTTTTTTAAATTTGTATAAGTGATCACAGAGGCTGTTAATGGTATCAGGCAATACTAAAATGAGTCACTGTTACAATATAAAGACTATTTATAATCTAATTTATTCTTACTATTTATTGTATAACTCAAAATTATAACTCTCATATTCTTGATAGGATGGACTTACCTATTCTTTAAATTTGATACCCAGCTGACTCTAACAAATAAAATGTTTATATTATTCCATATTAGCTTACTTTACGAAAACAGCTTTATCTAGTCTTATTTTAAATAAATCAAAATTCTAAATAAAAATTGACCTGTTTTTATTATGCATGCAAAATTTACTGTATTTTCTCATCCTTTTGAGTGATATATTTTCAGTATTGAGAAGTTTTGGAGAAAAAAATAGGGAAATTTAAATGATAATTAAATAAAATTTGTAACTAATCAATAAATCCACCTTCCACCATTTATAATATATAAATACACAATTTTTCATGATAATTAAAATATCTTATAAATGAAGAAAATATGTAAAATTATATGAAGTTTACTAATTAATCAATATTGAGTCAATAAATAAATACAAATTTTTAATAATTTTAAATATCAATTTTTTATATCTTATTGATGGATATTATTTTGTAACCAATAGAAATTTCACGCATTTTCTCATTCAATTACATATAAATTTATATTGAATTGTTTGCATAGATTTCATTCAAATGTTTGCTTTTGAATTTATTATTAAGTTTTTATCCATTATTTTTTCTTAATTACTTTATGTATATTTTTTTACTAGATTATATATTAACACGCTTACAACTGCAATCATATTTTATTAAAATTATATATTTCTCCAAAAATCGTCTTGAAAAAATATTGTTGAATTATTATTCATGGCATATTTTTATTTCAAAATTAAAAAATATATTAAGTAAATTTAGGAATAAATTTCATAATAATATTCCTAATTTAATTATATGGTTAGCCCTACAGTCCTACAAAAAAATAATTAAACATTATAATCTTTTAAAAAATAATATTCCATCATAGAATAGCTTTTAAAAAAGTTATTTTTGATTCAAATATTGTATTGTTTATATAATATGACAAATATTAACACATAAATTGGTTTATAAATTATTTTTATTTTCTTTTTTATAATTTTTGAAAATCAAATATTTATGATATGAAAAATCATTAAAAATATTTAATAGATTAGCTATTTGTTTTTATTTTTAATAATTATTTTAGAAATTATTTTTATTATTAAGAATAAATAAAAATATTTTCGATGCTTAAATTTATATTAGATTTTTGTAAATATAATAATAATAAATTACTAAGATGAAATTTAATTTTTATATGATACATTAGTTCTTACTATTTATAAATGTAAGAGTTACTTTGATTTGTAAGTAAGTAATTATGAGTAAAAAATTACTTGAATTATATATTACACTCTCGCTTGATTCAGATTAATTATTAAGAGCTTTCTTTAAAGAAAATATATAATTTACATAGTTAATATTTATCTATTTAAACAAAAGTCATTATCTTTTTATTATAAATTGTATGAATTTAAGATATGTCTATACCTAAATAAGAAGGTCTAGATACTTTTTTTTTTGAATCGTTTAAATAATAAATATGCTAAAACTATTAAAAATCATTAGAAAGTATAATTAATTTATTATTTAAGTAATCAGCTGAAAAAATAGTAAAAATTTTACATCAAATTACTAAATAGAATTAAATACCAATTATACAATTTTAATGCGTAATAGAGCTATAACAAATAATAATTGTTTCTAATTACTTAATATTTTCTTACAAATCAAACACATATTTTTATATATAAACAATAAAAGTAATAATAAATACTTAAAGAAAAATAGATCAAATAATAAACAATAGGTTTGTCCTTCGTTTTTCATATGAAAGGCAAGAAAAATGGCTAAAAATAAAGAACCTAGCAACCATAAGCTAAGGGTTCAAAAGTATCTCTCTGCTTTGATAATTTTCAACTGAAAAAGTTTTATATTGAAGATCTGATTCATTTGATTCGTCCTTTAATACTTAGCAAAGTAGCATCAATCATAATGATTATAATTAGTAGATTAACCATATTATCCTTTATTTATAAAGATGAAAGTTACTACTCTAATGGTCCTTATTTATGGCAAAAATAAAACGAGCAGCGACTTTAAAGTATAGCTAATTATACATAGTATTTATAAGTATTTCCATTAATTGATTAATACTTCTAAAATATGAATCCTTATTATTCTACTATCTTTGTATCTTTTACTTTGAATATTTTGTTTATAAGCGCTTTGGTACTTTCATTCTTTATAAGAAATTTAGAAATCAGACATATTAAATTATAATTGTAAATTTTCTGCTAGTTCTACACAACAATTTACAATCAATGGCTATTTTACGTGTCTTTAAACTCTGTATTTAAACTAATATCACTGAAAAATTCAGAATATCCTGCCTATTTTATTGCTATTTCTTACTTAAATATCTTATTGACTATTGGAATCGGTATTGTTTTTTATATTAATAACTTTATTAATCAAATTAATTAATTTTTAACCACAATCACAACTTTTAATTATACAAAAAAGTTATTAGGAGAACCATTTAGTTTAATATCAGTTGTTACCCTTACATTACAATTATTATTAATGATAAATAATAAAGATATATTTTTTCAATTTATAAATAATAAAATTCTATGTAAATTTATATTTATAAACTATGTTTTCTATTAATTAGGATTCTTAATTGAAACACATGACTTTAGTTGTTCTTTTAAGGAAGAAAGTAACTACTTGGCAAAGTAGTCTGACAATACCTTTTTACTGCTACTAGCCTTGAGGGCTATTTTAGTTATTTTAAACTCTTTTACAAGCCATAAAATTATTGTATTATACTCTACGCTATATTTTATCATTGAAACTCTTTTCATTTTGATGAAAGACTATTATTTATCAGATCATATAAATCAAATTTATTCTTGTCTCTCAGCTGCGTCACTTTAAATTTGCATTTGCTTTTTAGTGGAAAATTTTATTTTTTAATAATCAGATATTATCTTGATTAGTATAGTTACAGTACCTATTTCTACTATTTTTGTTTTAGAGTACAATAAAAACAAAAATGAGCAATTATTTCAAATATTTTTAAATATTGAGTCTCTATATGAGTGTAAAACTTACTAATTTTTAAAAATAATAAGGCTGATTATCCATTAGTCTAAGCTATGCTAAAATCATTATTTGTATAAAGGATAAGGAATTAACTACTAAGCAATTATTTAGGTCCATGAACTTTAATGCGTTTCAAATGATAAATCATGCTTTTGTTATTTGTATAGAGCTCCTGTAAATTAATTAATACTTACTTACTTTCATTTTATAAATTTTTAATAAATTAAATTATAAAAAATTCCTCCCTAATGTTATATAATTTTATTATTACTTTTAGATTTTTATTTTTAACTTACATTTATTTATTAGTTATTAATAACATTTTTAATTATAAAATTAAATTAGGATACGTAAGATGGACTTTTACTTCAAGAACTCTCTGAAAGACATTTTAGAAAAGAATATATTGAACATATATTATTGGATATTATGGAAAAATATATTTAAAATACTAAAGGCAAGCAAGAAAAAAAAATGAATATCTTGAGGTTGTCACTTTTGAATTATCTTTTTGAGATAATTAACGACCCAACGAGAGCGCTTATCAATCTTTATCGCACTTAATTCTAATTTATTTTGAGTAATAAAATAAAGGGAGCATATATGTATTACTTTTACTAGCTTAAAGAGCTTGTGATGAAATCTTATTAGGAAATACTTTTTGAGTCTAATATTGAAAATCAAAAAATAAACATGATTGGAGCTATTCTCTTTGATGAGAAAATTAATATTTGTAAAAAATAGCTAAGAGCTACTTTGATTCAAACTGGAGATTTCTATGATTTGTTATGTGGGGATTATATTCCTTTGAAACAATTAGAAATTATGTCTGTGCCTTTGATAACTCTTAATTAAGAGCTGTAAAATAGCTTTTTAGAACTTTTTCAAATTAATGCATTTGATTTAGATCTTCAATATTTGGCTAGTGTATTTATCTAAGTTCTAGATTTTTAGAGTAGAAAAATCTCAGATTTTCAAAAGTAGGCTCTAAATATTTTTAACAAATCTTAAAAGCTTAAAAAGCTCAAAGAACAGCAAAAAATTAAGCAAAACAATTACTTAACTGAAAATGTTTGTGTAGTTTTTTCATCGTTTTTGGAAAATGATTATATAGTTAACAAAGTTTCAAACTCCTTTTTCTAGATTTTTGGGATTAAAGTAGATGCTATTCTTGGTAAATAGTTGAACCTACTAGTACCAAATATCGTAAAAAGACATCACAATAAAATGATCTATAAATTTATTGATTAAGAATCGTTAAATATAGTTTAAAAAGGTATGAAATTTTTATAATATTCTCTTTCCTTTCCATTCATTGAAATTATTCTATAATATAAAAAAGGAGAAAGACATGCTTTTGCTCTTGACAAAAAGGGATTTGTTTTCCCTATTACTTTAAGAATGAAAATTGAAATATTTGAAAATGATATTGGTGTCTGCGCTTTACTTTAACGAGTAAATAAATAAAAATCATATATTTTATTTGAAGAGGATGGTAAAATCACAGATTTTTCTAAAAAAATATTTATTGATATTTTTCAATCTTTGGATCCTAAAATAGGTAAATTGTTTAATATTTATTTTAGATTACTTTTTATGGCTAAATTTCAAACAAAGCAATAAAAGCAATATATTGGGAAAATATTTCAAAATTACAAAACAAAGAATTAATAATTATTAATTTATTTTTTATTTGATAGAAATCTTATAAAATGCATTTAGCATGATACCTTCGCTTGAGGCAGTGATGGAGAGTAAGTAGTTTTATACCTAATTTTGCAGTATTTTAGTGATTAAGAGAGAATTAATAAAAAAATAAAAGCAGCAGAAAGAATAATCATCTCCCACAAAGTCGATTAATAAAAGTGGTAAAAAAGCTTACTCTCAAAACGACGATGTTTTTTTGATTTAATTTAAGGTTGGAGTGAACACCACCAAAATAAATGTAAATATAAATTATGTTGAAATTGACTTTTACGAAAGAGAAGTAAATGAAATGAAAAAAAGAAGAATAATTTAAGACTTAAACTATCAATAAATACTTAAAGAAAAGCAGTAAAGCTTAAGTAACAATGTCTACTAGATTCCTGATATGATTAATAACAATTCTGATAGACAAGCTACTTAAATATCTTACAACTAAGATTAAAGCCCAACTAAGGCTATGTAGAAAGCTTATTTTTAAGAAGAAGAGAGCATGAAATCAGCTGCTTTGTTTAGTCCTCTTAGAATTTAAAGAAGAACAAATAAACATAAAACAGATTAGAACACTAGTCATAATTATTATTTGCAAGAAAATATTTCAAATCTTTTGTAGCAAAAATCTCTTTAAGAGGATCAAAGGCCTTCTTCTTTAGTTGAAATATAGCTAGTTTCTTTGTAATAAAATAAGCAATCAGAAGATAAATAAGAAATAAAAATGAATATGATCTCAAAGCTAGATGAATAAAAAACTGATGTACCTTTCTAAACTTTTAGGACCACTCATTAACTTTAAATCAATACAACATAAGAAGGTGAGAGCTTTAAATCACCCTGCTACTAAGATGGTAATGAAGGTATGCAATCCTTTAAGAATATTTAAATAGATTAAATGGAGAGTTTGCAAAATTTTTCAAAATACAATCAGGACTTTTACTAAAACTAAGAAGCATCATTAAATAATTTAAACTCATTTCAAAATAATAATATTATGTTCTAAGAAATCAGTAATTACTTAGTTCAACCTTAAAAGGCTATTTTCTATAATAACCTTAATTAAATTTATGATGAAGAGTCAGAGTCTTATGAGTCAAGTCTAAATGATAACAGAATAAATAGAATCAATTCGAGAAGCACTGATTCTCATGATGAAGAGAACTAAAAGAAAGAGTAAATGAATGAAATTGCTAGTGTAAATTCAAGTAAATTCAGTTCAGTTGAGCTCATGAAAAGGTCTATGATTAAAAGAATACAATCAAAAGTATACACGAGAGGCTAAAAGCTTATGATTATTACAGGAATTCTAGCCTTTTTAACTTTAACTATTGTGACTATAATAATGTATTAAGAGAATATTAATAGCTTAGACTAATTTGTTTCATCTTTTTTGAAAATAGATGATGCAATTTACTGTTTTGTAGATGTTATGAATATATTAGCTTTGAATAATTACTCATATATGCTAGGGATTAAGAAAAATCCTTATATTATTGATAACTTAGCAATATAAAAAATTGAAAAGAAAAATGTGAAAACAATATCTTATCCTATGGTCCTTAATGATTATAAACATAATTTAGAATAACTTGTTTTACACAATGACAGCGAAGAATCTATTAATGAACTACAGAATAATCTTTTTTTAGTTTAAAAATTCACTATTGGCTTTTACGACGATTAGGGAAATTAATTGTATGTAGCAAACACAAATTTTACTCAAAGTTTGCAATACACTTTAATGGAATACTACTATTCTATTTATATGTATACAGTAATGTTTGAAGATGCTTAAGAAAACTTTATATGGAATAACCTCATGGAATTAAAAGAAAGGACAAGGAACTTGCAATCAATTGTTAACCAATATGTCAACACACAATTTAATAACATGTACAATGAATAGATAACTATTATCATATTGGTAGTTATAATTAGTGTTTTTATGGTTTTGACTATAATTCCTTTAAGCTTCATGATATAAATGCAGAAAGAAAAAATTATGAAACTCTTAGGTTCATTCCAGCCCTAGATACTTGAATTTCAAATAAAACTAATTGAATTGGCTATTTTTAAAATAGATAATATCCATTTAGTTAATGAAATGAACAAAAGTGTTTCAGTTAGTAACAAATCTTCCAAAAAAAACAGCAAATAAATAAAACTCTTGATGGAATTGGCTCTTGAAGGGAGAGAAGACACTTAGACTAATTAAAGTGGCAAGTTCAATTAAGAAGTAAATGATTATATTCCAAAATACATTAATAGACAGTAAAACAAGAGAAACAGATCTATCGCATCTTTTAGTAGTCTACCTAAACTTAGCTTCAAAATCCTTTTAATGAGTGTTGTTGCAATAATACTTTTATTGATTTAGCCATTTCTAAACATTATTTAATTTAGCCCATTTTAAAGCGAATCAAAGGCTACTTTAGAAGATAGAATTACTTTAATCAGTATCTATTCTTGTTTAATTGAAAATTAAACTCCTCATTATGAAACTTTACTCATGACAATATTTCAGTAATATCTTCCAACAGAAACTTATTATTACTTTTATATTTAGAACATAACTGATTAGAATTATTAATCTATTTAATCAATATCCAACTTGACTTAAAGTCTGCATATTCCTAGATATAATGAGCAGAGATTTGAAGAATTTTACAAAACAATTCTTAATGGAGACATATGCTCTGTAAAAGAATCATATCCACAATATTTTAACTCAAATGTAACTCATGCTGATTGTAACAGATTATTTGGTGGAATGCTGAACAGAGGATTACTTCTTTCAATTAAAAAGGCTTTTGATACATTTTAAGAACTCTATGAAATGTATTCAATAACAGATTTAGATACGCTACTAAACGAATGGATTTTATTTCAGCACTAATACTCTTATATAGATTTTTTTTAATTTGTAAAAGTAATAACAGAGACTGTAAATGGAATTAGATAATACTAAAATCAGTAACTAGTTCAATATAAAGACTATTTAGAATCCAATTTATTCTTACTATTTATCATATAACTCATAATTATAACTCTCATATTCTTGATAGGATGGACTTACCTATTCTTTAAGTTTGATACCCAGCTTGAACTAACAAATAAAATGTTTACCTTATTCCATATTAGCTTACTTTATGAAAACAACTTTATCTAGTCTTATTTTAAATAAATCAAAATTCGTAGTAAAAATTGAATTGTTTGTTTGTTTATATTATTTCTACCAAAATGTATTTTCGAGTAAATTTAAAAAAGTTTTGTAAATATCATACTTATAAGATTAGTTTTTAATCTAAATTTATTTTTGATAAGGATATAGATATTAGTAATTAAATTTGTGCAATTATAACTTTTATCATAAATAATATATAAGCTTTTTTGATAAAGAGGACAAATAAATGCCAAAATTTCAATTTCAATTTTAAAAATAATATTTTTTATTTAAAAATCTAACCTAATTAATATCTAGCTAGCTAGAGGTTGCCATACCATTAGATATTAATTAGGTGTTTAGCTATATTAATAATTCTAGAAAGTTGAATTAATATATTTATTAAGTAAACTTCTGAAGCAGGGTAAATAAATATATTGAATTAAATTATTAATTGGAATAAAATACAAATTATACAATTTAAATAAGTAATTAAGTAATAACAGATAGTAATTATTTAATATTTATTTAGTATTTTTTAACAATTTAACACATATTTAATATTAAAAATAATAATAAAAGTAAAATTATTTATAGAAAAATAAATCAAATAATAAACAATAAGTTGGTCGTTAGCTATTGATATGAAAGGTAATTTAAATGATTAAAAATTAAGAAATATTTAATCATAAACTAAGTGTTCAAAAATATCTAAGTGCTTTAATAGCTTGCAACTGAAAAAGTTTTATGTAAAAGAGATGATTCATTTAATTCGTCCGTTTATACTTAACAAAAAAGTATCAATCATAATGGTAATAATTAGTAGATTAACCATACTTTCATTCATTTACAAAGATGATAATTATTACTCTAATGGTCCTCATTTATGGCAGTAGTATAATGAATAGCGACTTAAAAGTATAGCTAATTATACATAGTATTTATAAGTATTTCCTTTAATTGATTAATACTTCTAAACTATGAATCCTTATTATTTTACTATTTTTGTATCTTTTGCTTTCAATATGTTATTTGTAGGAGCTTTGTTACTTTCGTTTTAATTAAGAAATACAGAAATCAAAAATATTAAATTATAGCTGCGAAAATTCTGTTAACTCTATTCAACAGTTTACAATCATTGGTTATTTTACATCTCCTTACGCTCTGTATTTAAACTAAAATTGTTGCAAGATTTGGAATACCCTACTTACTTTATTACTATTTCTTACCTGAATATCTTCTTGACGATTGGGATCGGTATAGCTATTTTTATTAATAACTTAAAACTTTAAAAACCAAATTAATAAATTTTTAACCATATTGTAGACTATCCTTAAACTAAAAATATTTATTAAGAAAGCTATTTAGTTTTATATTAGCTTTTATTCTTACATTACATTTATTATGAATGATCTTTTATAATGGCATCTTTTTTTTTAATTAATAAAAAATCTTCATTTCCCAACAATAATTTCTTTTAATTAGGATTCTTAATCGAAACGCATGACTTTAGTTGTTCTTTTAAGGAAGAAAGTAACTACTTGGCAAAGCATTCAGATAATACTTTTTTACTTCTACTCGCTTTGAGAGCCATTTTAGTATTTTTAAATTCGTATACAAGCCATAAATTTATTATCTTGTATTCGACACTCTATTTTTTCATTGAAATTCTTTTCATTTTGGTGAGAGGTTATTATTTATCAGACCATTTAAACCAGATCTATTCATATCTTTCAGTTGCCTCATTATAAGTTTGCCTTTGCTTTTTAATCGAGAATTTTATTTTTTTAAAATCAGATATTATTCTAATTAGTATTGTTACAATACCTATTTCTATTATTCTTGTTATAAAGTACAACAAAAATAAAAATGAGCAATTATTTCATACATTTTTAAACCTTGAGTCTCTTTATGAGTGCAATACTCACAAATTTTTAAAAATAATAAGGCTGATTATCCATTAGTCTAAGCTATGCTAAAATCATTATTTGTATCAAGGATAAGGAATTAACTACTAAGCAATTGTTTAAGTTCATGAAGGTCAATGCACTTTAAATGATAAATCTTGCTTTTGTTATTTGTACAGAGCTCCTGTAAATAAATTAATACCCCTTTTATTTCATACATTAAAAAATATAATATCAAAAATTCCTTCTGAGTGTTATTTATTTTTATGGCTATTTTATTATTAATTTTATCCAATTTGAAGTAACGTTTTTAATTTTTAAATTTAAATAAGGATATATAAGATAGACTTTTGCTGCAAGAACTCTCTGAGAGACATTTGAGAAAAGAATATATTGAACATATTTTACTTGACATTATGGAAAAATATATTTAAAATTCTAAAGGCAAGCAAGAAAAAAGTATGAATATTTTGAGTTTGTCTCATCTGAATTATCTTTTTGAGATAATTAACGACCCAACGAGAGCGCTTATCAATTTGTATCGCACTTAATTCTAATTTGTTTTGAGTAAAAGAATAAGAGGAGCATATATGTTTAACTTTTACTAGCTTAAAGAACTTGTAATGAATTCTTACTAGGATATAATTTTTGAGTCTAACATTGAAAATTAAAAAATAAACATGATTGGAGCTATTCTCTTTGACGAGAAAATTAATCTTTGTAAAAAATAGCTTAGAAATACTTTAATTCAAACTGGAGATTTCTATGATTTGTTATGTGGGGATTATATTCCATTGAAAAAACTAGAAATTATGTCTATACCTCTGATAAGTCTTAATTAAGAGTTATAAAATAGCTTTATAGAGCTTTTTTAAATAAATGCGTTTGGTTTAGATCTTCAATATCTGGCTAGTGTATTTATCTAAGTTCTAGATTTTTAGAATAGAAAAATCTCAGATTTTCAAAAGTAGGCTCTAAATATCCTCAGCAATTCTTAAAGGCTTAAATAGATTAAAGAGCAACAAAAAATCAAGCAAACTAATTACTTATCTGAAGATGTTTGTGTAATTTTTTCTTCGCTTTTGGATAATAATTATATCGTTAACAAGGTTTCAAACACCTTTTTCTAGATATTTGGGATAAAAGTAGATGCAATTCTTGGCAAATAGTTGAATTTATTAGTACCAAATATAGTAAAAAAGCATCATAATAAAATGATCTAGAAATTTATTGATCAAGAATCTCTTAATATAGTTTAAAAAGGTATGATTTTTTTAAAATATTCTCTTTCCCTTAGATTCAATAATATTCATTGAAATTATTCTATAATATAAATAAAAAAGGAGAAAGACATACTTTTGCTCTTGATAAAAAGGGATTTGTTTTCCCTATCACTTTAAGATTGAAAATTGAAATCTTTGAAAATGATATTGGCGTTTGTACTTTGCTTTAACGATTTGGCAAATAAAAATCATATATTTTATTTGAAGAGGATGGCAAAATCACAGACTTTTCAAAAAAAATATTTACTGATATTTTTTAATCCTCGGATCCTAAAATTGGTAAATTTTTATTGTTTTTAAGACAGATTACCTTTTTTACTATTTAATTTGATAAATAAGCATTTAAAAATCTTTATTTTAACAAAAACTTTCAAAAATTTGTAAAACAAAGAATTAGACAATTTATCAAACAAATTAATTTAATTTATTTTTTATTAAATAGAAATTTTGTAAAATGCCTTCAGTTTGATACCTTCACTTGAAACTGTGATGGAGAGCAAGTAGTTTTATATATAATTTTGCAGTAATTTAGTGGTTAATAGAGAATTAATAAAAAAATAAAAGCAACAGAAGGAATAGCCTTCTCCTACTAAATCTGATAATAAAAATAGTAAAAGAGCCTATTCAATAAACGATGATGTATTTTTGATTTAATTTAAGGTAGGAGTGAACACCACCAATATAAATGTAAACATAAATTATGTTGAAATTGACTTTTACGAAAGAGAAGTAAATGAAATGAAAAAAAGAAGAATAATTTAATAATTAAACTAGCTATATAATCTTAAAGAGAACCAGTAAAGTTAAAGTAATTATAACTTCCAGATTCCTGATTTGATTAACAGCTACTCAAATAGGCAAGCTACTTAAATATCTTTCAACTATGATTTAAGCCCTACTAAAACTATGTTAAAAACTTTTTTTTAAGATGAAGAGAGCATTAAATCACCCACTTAGTTTAGTCCTTTAAGAATTCAAAGAAGAAGAAGTAACAAACATAAAAGAGCTTAGAGTGTTAATAATAATCATTAATCACAATAAAATATTTCATATCTTTTACAGTAAAAATCACTTTAAGAAGATTTAGGGCTCTCTTCTTAAGGAGAAATATAGCTTGTTTCTTTGTAATAAAATAAATAAGCAGAAGATAAACAAGAAATAAATATGAATTTATTCTCAAAGATAGATGAATAAAAAACTGATATACCTTTCTAAACTTTTAGGACCACTCATTAACTTTAAATCAATACAACATAGGAAGGTGAGAGCATTAAATCACCTTGCTACTAAGATGGCAATGAAGGTATAGAATCTTTTAAGAATATTTAAATTGGTTAAAGGGAGAAGATGCAAAATTTTTAAAAATACTATCATGAATTTTACTAAAATTAAGAAAGTTCATTAAATAATCTAAACTTATTTCAAAACAACAATATTATGCTCTAAGAATACAATAATTATTCAGTTTAAAAGTAAAAAACTTTATTCTATAATAACCTTAATTAAATTTATGATGAAGAGTCAGAATCTTAAGAATCAAGTCTAAAGGATATTAGAATAAATAGAATCAATTTGAGCAGTACTGATTCTCGTAGCTAAGAGAATTAAAAGAAAGAGTAAATGAATGAAATTGCAAGTGTAAACTCAAGTAAATTCAGTTTATTTGAGCTCATGAAAAGGTCTATGGTTAAAAGAATATAATCGAAAGTATATACGAGAGGCTAAAAGCTTATGATTATTACAGGGATTCTTGCCTTTGTGACTTTAACTATAGCTACAATTTTAATGTACTAAGAGAACATTAATAGCTTAGACTAATATGTTTCATCTTTTTTGAATATAGATAATGCAATCTACTGTTTTGTTGATGTTATGAATATTTTAGCTTTAAAGAATTATTCAAAATTACTTTCTTCTAAAAAAAATCCTTACATTATTGATAACTTAACAATATAAAAACTTGAAAAGAAAAATGTAAAAACAATAGAGTTTCCTTTGGTTCTTAATAATTATAAACAAAATTTATAATAACTTGTTTTACATAATGACAATGAAGAATCAATTAATGAACTATAGAATAACCTTTTTTTAGTTTAAAAATTCACTGTTGGCTTTTCTGACTAGGATGACTAATTGAATTAAATAAGCACAAATGTTACTCAGAGTTTGTAATATACTTTGATGGAATACTACTATTCTATTTATAGGTATACAATAAAACTTGAAGAAGCTTAAGAAAACTTTATCTGGACTAACCTTATTGAATTAAAAAAAAGAACAAGGAACTTGCAGTCAATTTTTTACCAATAAGTCAACAAACAATTTAATAAAATGAATAATGAATAAACAATGATTATTATATTAATCGTCATAATTAGCATTTTTATGGTAATGGCAATAATTCCTTTAAGCATTATAATATAAATGCAAAAAGAAAAAATTATGAAACTCTTAGGTTCATTCCAACCTTAGATACTTGAATTTCAAATAAAACTTATTGAATTGGCTATTTTTAAAATAGATAATATCCATTTAGTCAATAAAGTTAATAAGAGTTTCTCAATGAGCAACAAATCTTCTAAAAAAAACAGTAAACAAATAAAACTCTTAATGGAAATGGCTCTAGAAGGGAGAGTAGACACTTAGACTAATCAAACTAGTAAGTTCAATTAAGAAGTCAATGAATAAATACCAAAATACATTAAAAGACAGTAAAACAAAAGAAAAAGATCTATCGCATCTTTTAGTAGTTTACCAAAACTTAGCTTCAAAATCCTTTTAATGAGTGTTGTTGCAATAATACTTTTATTGGCTTAGCCATTTTTAAACATAATTTAATTTAATCCTTTTCAAGAAGAGTCAAAAGCTACCTTAGAAGATAGAATTACTTTAATTAGCATTTATTCTTGTTTAATTGAAAATTAAACTCCTCATTACGAGACCTTATACATGACAATTCTTCAGAAATATCTTCCTACCGAGACTTATTATTACTATTATATTCAGAACATAACTGATTAGAATTATTAATCTATTTTAGCAATATCCAACTTGACTTAAAGTCTGCATATTCCTAGATATAATGAGCAGAGATTTGAAGAATTTTACAAAACAATTCTTAATGGAGACATATGCTCTGTTAAAGAATCATATCCACAATATTTTAACTCAAATGTAACTCATGTTGATTGTAACAGATTATTTGGTGGAATGCTTAACAGAGGATTGCTTCTTTCAATTAAAAAGGCTTTTGATACATTTTAAGAACTATACGAAATGTATTCAATAACAGATTTAGATATACTGCTAAACAAATGGATTTAATTCCAGCAATAGTACTCTTACATAGATTTTTTTTAGTTTGTAAAAGTGATCACAGAGACAGTTAATGGCATCAAGTAATACTAAAATGAGTAATTAGTTCAATATAAAGACAATTTTGAATCTAATTTATTCTTACTACTTATCATTTAACTCATAATTATAACTCTCATATTCCTGATAGGATGGAATTATTTATTTTATAAATTTGATACCTAACTCAGCTTAGCAAATAAAATGTTTACACTATTTCATATTAGCTTGCTATATGAAAATAACTTTATCTAGTCTTATTTCAAATAAGTCAAAATTAGTAAAAAAAGTTGACTTGTTTTTTTATTATTTGTACAAAAATTAGTTTTTAAACATTTTCCTAAAAATTTTGTGTTCAAAGATATTAAATAATTACTTAATTAAAACTCTATTTCGCTACTTAATTAACAAAAAATAAAAATTTTTTTTTGAAATAAACAAATTAATTAACATAATTTTTAAAATTTAAAGATTTTTTTGAAAATACATACCAATAAGTTAATTTTAGTTATGAAATAAAAATGCTATTTAAAATTTTAAACGATATTTATAAATATATAGTAAATGAATTAAAAAAGATACTAAAAAATAATTTTCTGTCTGCTTAATCTAAATAAAAATATATGTTACTTTTTAGATTTATTTTAGCCTTTGTAACATTTGTTAACAGAAAATTGTTATTGTAATTTTCTTTTAATATATTTTGGTTTTAAAAATGGCTATTTAATCTTACTTTGTTTTCAATTTAATTTATAAAAAATTTCTATTATATTTTTCTTTAAAAATTCATTTTTTAAGGAGTTGTATCTTAGAAATTATAATTTATTAATTTTAAAAATTGATAAGCATATCAAAATTTTTCTAAAAACCTATCTAATGCAAAATAATTAAATGTAATTAAGTAAACGCATTTTTGGAAAACTAAATAATTGTTATAATATATTCAATTTATAAATAGGTAAATAGATAGATAGATAAAGATTTAAACATAAATCCTCAAATAAAAATATGCATTAAATTTAATGAAAATAACTAATATTATTTTAAAATTAACAAAAAATAAAAAGTGTATTTAAAACAAATATGATATTTTTTTGATTCAAGCGCATAATTAATTCGAAATTCGCTGAACAGTTTATGAAAATTAAAATTATTTGCTAAATAAACGCAAAGGCTTATTTTCTTAGTTAAGGAATTTTTCATAATAATATCTAAATTTTTTGAAATTGTTATAATTTACTAATTTAAATTTTTTGTTTTAAGAAAATACAAACAAATAATAAGATAATTGATGTATTTATTAATTAATTAATTAATTTGTTAGCTTATTATTTGTTAAACATTAAAGAAAATTTAAATTCGTTTACAATTTTAAATTAATTATTTGCTTGAGGAGCGAATTTATTATGATTTGTCAATTTAAATAGACTTAACTTTTTTTAAATAGTGAGTAAGTGTATTTTTTGATAAAAAATTTGATAATAAATAAAACTAAAGGCAACATTGAAAGGCTTGAAATGAAATAATTGATCTAAAAAAAGTTAAAAGATAAAAATGATAAACATCAAAGCTGCTACCAAAGATTTTAATTCAAAGCTTTTTATTATAATGAAATGATTAAAATGATTCGCCCTTTAGCTCTCAATAAAAATATATCAGTAGCATTATTAGTAATTTGCTGGCTAACAGTACTATCGTTTCTTTATAAAAATGAGGACTATTATGATAATTTATAAGAAAACATCTATAAAAATGAAAATTAAAGAATGCATTAAATTTTTAATTTCATACAATACCTGTAAGTGCTACCTTTTGTCATAGATTACTTAAAATAATAAAACTGCTACCTAACTTATCTTGTTCTTTTCTCCTTTATATTAAATTGTCTGTATGCTAACTCTATAATATTTATATTTATTTTTAGATAAGTTAAAATTAAGAAATATTTGTAAAAATATTGCTAAATTCACTCGACGATATATAATAAATGGCCTTATTACTCATTTATTAGCTTGTCACTTAATTTGGTTTCTCAAGACAGCCAAAAATACTAGACATACATCATAATTATTTCTTATTTAAATATCTTTCTTACTCTCGCTACAGGTAAATTTTTGAATTTTTAGTTACATGATTTGATTAGAAAAATTTGATTTGAGTATCTTAAATTTTGTGGTAATAGCTATTTATAGAAAAATAAAAAATTGACAAATTATTTAAAAAAATTAGTTAGAATTAAAAAATATAAATTATTTCAATTAAATTATCTAATTTATAGTTAGTATATTATTATTTTGATTAATTAAAACAGGTTACTTCTTGGAAATCCACGATTTTAGTTTTTCTTTTTAAGAAACATCGAACTATCTAGCAAAGTAATATGGTTTTTCTGGTTTAATTTTTATGACTCTAAGAACAATTCTGATTTGCATAAATTAATACTATAACCACAAGATACTGGCAATATATTCTTCGTTTTACTTTCTTCTAGAGACCATTAACTTGATTTTTAACTAGCATTATTTATCACTTGATATTAATTAGATCTACTTTTGTTTAACTATTTCTTCATTCTAAATTTCAATATGTTATTTGGTTGTGATCTTTATCTTTAATAGCTCTGATATAATACTCATTTGCATACTCACTGTTCCTTTATCAATTAAACTCATAAATAAGTTGAAAATATTCAGAAATTAATACTTGATTGATTAATTTTCAAATAATAAAGACTTTTAATCATGCAATCAATAAAGTTTCTTGAATATTATAAGACAGGTACATTAGCATGCATAAATCAATGATCAAGATTACTCTTATTACAAGTATGGAATTACATATGAAAATATTGTATAAGCGCACTAGTCTCAGCATGCTATTAACAGTGAATTTTGTTTCTGCCAAAAATACAGAAAATGTGTAAGACTGTAGTTTATTTTAACTAACCAAATCATTTAGAATTAATTATTGATATTACTGTATAATATTTAGATTTATTAATTAAAAGATACACAATAAATCTTATTTAATGTAAATAAGTTAATCAGAATTTACTATTTTCTATTAGATCAATGTTACAGTTTTATATAATTAAATCATCTCTTAAAATATTCAAAACCTTTTTATCAAAAATTCTAAAATATTTATAATTATTGTTTTTTATAAAAGGGAAAAAATGAAGGCTTACAAATAGACTAATTGTCTGAATAAAACTTTAGAAGGGAATTTATAGAAAAAATAGTTTTATTTTCAATAGAAAAATGCATTTAGAATTGTTAAAAAAACGATGAACAAGAAAAATTAAGCATTCTAAAATTGGTATAGCTCAACTACCTATTTGAAATTACAAAAGATCCTGTTTAAGTCCTGATAAATCTATAAAAAATATCTTAATTTTTTATCAAAACTAGTAAAATGAAGGTGGTTTAAATATTTTATTTTTATTAGCTCAAAGAGAGGATAATGAAATATTATGAAAGTACTTTTTTTGATTCGAATATAGAAAATCAAAGAATAAATATGATGGACGCTATTTATTTTGGAGATAAAATTAATGTATGCAAGGAAAAGCTTAGATCTGCTTTGATTTAGAGCGGTCAATTTTACGATTTGCTTTGTGGAGATTTTATTTCGCTTAAGTCTATAGAAAATTTATCTTCGCCACTGCTCTAATTAAAGGAAGAATTGGAGTCTAGCTTTATTGAACTTTTCAAAATAAATTCAAGCGATATAGATCTCTAGTATTTAACTTGTATTTATATTTAAGTTTTAGATTTTCAAAACAGAAAAATTCCAGAATTTTAACAATTAAACAGTTTAGAATCAGCTCAAGAGTAAAAAAAATTAAAAAGATATTATTTATAATAATCCCACTTTACTGGAAAGAATTGTGTTATTTTTTGTTCGCTTTTATAAAACACCTATGTTGTCAACTTGGCTTCTAATTCTTTTTCTAAGATTTTTGGTATCCACAAGGATTTTATTGTAGGAAAGCAACTAAATTTATTGGTTCCAGCAATTATAAAAAAAAACCACGATAAAATGATTTAGAAGTTTATTGATTAAGATTCCTTAAGTTTAATAGAAAGAGGTATTTATTTTTTAAAATTAATTTAATTCATTTATTTAGCATGTATTTGCTTTGACATTTCTTTCTTATTCTTTATCAAAGCTTACTCAAAAAAAATTTCTAAAAATCATAATTTTCAAATATTTTAATTAATATGCATTTATATTAAAAGGGTAACGTTCTTTGTTTGCCTTGGATTAACAAGGCTTTATTTTTCCGATATCTCTTAGGATTAAAATAGAAAATTTAAGTGATGATGTTGGGGTTTGTGCACTTATACATAGAATAAACAAGTAAAAATCTTATATTCTATTTGATGATGACGGATGTATCACTGACTTTTCTAAAAAACTATACTATGATCTATTTTAAAGTTCAGAAAAAATGTTATGTAAGCATTAACATTTTATAATTAATCTGTTTAAATACAATTTTTATTTAATTTTTTACTGACAATATTTTAATTTTTTAATTAATTTAGATGATTGGCAAAATATCTTTAGAATGATCCCATTCACTTAGATTATAATATAGAGTAAGTAGCTCAATACAAAATTCTGCAGTGCTATGGTTATTAAATAGCAATTTAAAAATAAATTGTCAAACACATAAATTGAAACAACAACTTAAGCAAAGAATATTAATTTGCATTCCTACAATGATGATGTATTTTTAATACAGTTTTAGGTATGCTAAAATTAAACTAGAATTAATGTGAACGTAAATTATTTAGAAATTGAAAACTATGAAAAAGAAACAAACCAAAGCAAGAAAAATAAAATCATTGATGAATTAAATAATTAGTTAATATAATAGGAATAGTAGGACAATTAAATTAAACAAATAAACAAAAATTTTGAAGCTTTAAATTCATATTAATATTTTTTGTCTGAAAGATAGCTGCCTTAAAACATAGATAGCAATAACTTGTTACTTATGAAATGGCAAGAAGATTAGAAATTTCAACAAGCAAGTAGACCAAATATAAAGACTGAAATTCCCAGTACAAATAGAATACATTTAATTTTTAATGAAAATGAAGATTTTAAAGAAGAAAATATGACTAAGTGTTTCAGTGAGCAGCAGATTCCAGTAAATTAAAATTAAAAACAAGAATAATTTGAAAACTAAATAGATAATCTTAGTTGGATAAACAAAAATGATATACCTTCAAGCAGGAATAAAAGCACAAAGGAAATTAGAAACAAAGAGATTCCTAATATTGCTTTGTAATTAAAAAAGACTCACACAATGAGCTCAAATTATTTAGATTTTAATCAATCGCCTCTTGTTTTCTCTCAGCACACATAATTATTGCTCCTTACAAACAACTAATAAGATTTTAATCAAATTGCAACTACTAATTCAAAGCGCAACATTGAATAATAAGGAAGCAATTAATTTGATTTTTCAATTAATAATTTTCCTTCCTCCAATTAGAACATAGCAGCTGATTAATAATATTCTAATTTTTAAAATACAAAAAACGAAGATTAACAAAAAGCAAACAAACTTATTAATAAGTAAAACACAATTAATTTAGTTAATTCGTAAAAAACATTGTCAGACAGCGATAAATGTTTGAGTATAGAAGACAATATTTTCAACAAAAGGAAAACAAAAAGCACTAATTTTCAGGAAGAGGAGTAAGAGGAAAAAGAGTAAAAGAAAGAACAACAAAATGAAATAGCTAGTGTTAATTCAAGCAAATATAGTTCAGAAGATCTCATTAAAAGAAATATGATAAGACGAATTAACTAAAAGGTTTTCAATAAAAGTTTGCAACTTATGATTTTTACGGGATTTATTGCTATTATTATTTTAATTGTCGTCACTTTGATTGTTTATTTGTAAAATTTAAATAGCTTAGATAATTTTGTAGCATCATTTTTGAAAATTGATGGTGCATTATTTTGCTTTACAGATGTAATGAAAATATAAGCTTTGTCTAATTATTAAGTTTTGTTAGGTAACACATATATTTAAGATAGTTAAGATATATAAAATTAATAAAATATCTTGGTCAATTACGAACTTACTGCTGTTTTATAAGATTACAATTAAAATTTTGAAGATCTAGTTTTATATAACGACAGCTAAGACGAACTCAATGATTTATAAAATAATCCTTTCTTGGTTTAAGTTTTTGCAGCAGGATTTTATGATTTTACTCACATCTAATTTAATTCTACTGTAAAATTTTCATAAAGCTTGTAATATACGATCATGCAATTCTATTATGAAATCATATTTTATGTTATTAACTATGAGGAATAATAAGAAGATTTTATATGGGGAAATATTGTTGAATTTAAATCCAGGATGAAAAACCTTTAATCAATTGTGGAGAGTTATGCGAAGACTTAATTTAACAACATGAATGCCCAACAAATGACAGTTATCACACTAGTGAGCATTTTAAGCTTTTTGATGATATTTTCAATTATACCATTGAATATCTATATTCAAATAAAAAGGGAAAAAGTTATGAAGCTTTTTGGCACATTTTAGCCTCAGACTCTTGAATTATAAATAAGATTAATAGAACTTGCAATTTTTAAAATAGATAAAACTAAGCTGGCAAATGAAAATTATAAAAAAGCACAACCAAGTATTATTAAAAGCATTAAGTCCTCAACAAAGAAATAAAAACACATTTATCTGAAAGACTTGATGGAATAAGCTTTAGATACAAAGACTTAAAATAAAAAAAACCTAATTTCAAATAATTATTTTTAATAAGCATAATAACTACCAAAATATATTAGAAGAGAGCAAAAACCAAGAAACAGATCCATAGCATCATTCAATAGCTTACCTAAATTTAATTTAATTGTAATTTTGTTAGGAATAGTAGCAGTTTTTTTGTTACTAATTTAGCCTGCTTTAAATATTTTGCAATTTAGTCCTTTTAAAACTGAATCAAATGCTACTCTGTAAGACAGAATAAGTCTCATAGATATTTTTACTTTACTGATTGAAAACCAAGGTTCTCATATTGAATCAATATTGTCTTTAGTTACTCTTTAAGTGCCTTCTACTACTTACTATTACACCTATGCTAATAACCTCACTGATTAAAACGAAAAAGCAATTTCACAATTATAAAATTTAACAACAAATCTAGGAATATAACGATATAATTAAAATATGTTTGAAGACTTCTATAAAAATATTCTCAATTCAAATTTATGTTAAGTGAGACAAAACTTTCCTTAATATTTTAACTCTAATGTGACTTAAGCAACATGTGAGAGAGTATTCAATGGAATATTAAAAAGAGGATTAATTTTATCTATAAATAGAGTATTTCAAACTTTTGAAGAACTTTTAGAAATGTATGCAATATAGGACTTGGATTAACAACTTAACTTTTACATTTAATTCCAAAGTTAATATTCCTATGTAGATTTTAAACTACTAATATAAGTTATATCCGAATCTGTTGATGCAATAAGACAATATTAAGACGAATCTCTATAAGAATACAAACAGCATGTCAAATTTAATTTGTTTTAGTTGTTTATCGCTTAGTTATTTATAATTATTTTAGTATTTTTCATTGGCTGGCTACGTCTTTTTTACAGCTTTGTCGATTAATTAGCAAAAACTAAAAATATTTTCAAAGTATTTCACATTAACGTGCTGTATGAAAATGACTACATCCAATCCTACTTTAGACAAATGCAAATAAAATAAAATAAGTGAATAAATAAATAAAATAAGTTAACATTTAAAATTCATCATTTCGAAATAAGATTAAACTAAAATATTTTTTAATTTAATCAAAATTAATAATTCAATAATTTAAAAGCCAAAAAAAATTTTTCCTATTTATTTATTTGTTTTTTAATTTATTGTTGATTATATAGTATTATTTTTATTTTATATTAAAATTTCTAATCCAAATATTTTTTTATTTTCAAGTTGAGCTTAAAAGCTTGACTTTGATGAATTTAATAAGTTGTTTTAATTATTAAAAAATTACTTAAATAAATTGGCAAAGCTTTTATTTTTTATTTTTCAGCAAAACTTTAAATAAAATATTAATAATTTATTTTAAAAAATATTTTTACATAAGTTTTATAAATCCATAATTATTTTTCTTAAAAATCAATAATTAAAAAATTTTTACGTCAATAAAAAATAATTTTATTAGATTAAAAAATTTAAATATATTTCCAAATCTAAAAATAAAATTTTGATAAGATAATTATTATAAATTAATTATTTTATTTGCTAAGCTTGAAATCAGCTTAAAAAATAAATGTTTTTGTTTTAAATTTATATGATTTATCAAAAATATTTAAGATTGTATTAAATATTGATTTATTTATTAATAACTAAATAAAGTTCTAAAATAAAATAATTTTATATTTGATTATCATTTTGTTTCTTAACATAATTTTGTTAAAAACAATTTTCTTAACAAAAATATACATGATATAACATAATTTTTACAATGTATTCATAATTAAAAAAAATTTTTGAGAATTAATCAATTGAAATAATAAAAGATTTAAAGCTATATTACAAAAACTTTAATCGTTTAAATTCTTTATATGTAAATGCACTAAAAATATATTCTCTGTATTAAATTCTATTAATAAATATCATCTATTGAATTAGAAAAATTATCAATTTTTCTTAATCAAAATTTTATGCAAAAAATTTTATCTATTTTGCATATTTTCATAAGTAAAATTTGACTTTATAAAATGTGTAAGTTTTTTAATTTACTTTTCTTTTTATCAATTAGGCTGCAAGTATATTTTATTAAGCTCTTCTTTCTGGAAATAGATTTTTGTTAATTAAAGTTAATTAAAATTTGATACACTTCCTTAACAATTTGGATGCTATTATATGAGCTCTCTAAAAATTTATTTTGACCAGTTAAATTTTGTCAATTATTTATAATATTAATAAACTAAAAATCACCTGATTTGTTTCTAATAATTAAAATATGAATATTAATTCATTGGCAGAGAAGCAGTAAGCAAATAAAAAAAAAGAAATATCAAAAATTTAAAGTTTTTCTAGAATATAAAAAAATCTAATTTATTCAAAGAATAAATTTCATAAAATTATTGTTAGAATTTTCTCCTTAAAATATAAAATTATTTGTTTTATATATTCAAAAAATATGAATAATTTTAATGTTGGTTGATTTTATTTATAATCAAGCTTATGTTTTTTTAATTTTTTACATTGACTTGTTCTTTCTATCTATATCAAATCTTTAGTTGTAAGAATTTGTGAATATCATTAAAATCTTTACTTGTAAGATTTTGTAAGTAGCATTAAAATCTTTACTTACTTGATCTAAATTATTTATAACACTTATCTCATAAATTGGCATTAATAATATTAAGAATTTAAGCTTTTGGTGGAGTTGAAATATTTATCTAAAAAATTAAATAAAGCTGTTAAAAAATAGAAAGATAAAATGAAATAACAAAAGCAATCCACAAAAGAATTGAATATTTAGAGTAAATCTTGCTCCCAAAAATATAAATTCAAATCTTTTTATTATCATGAAATGGTTAAAATTGTTCGCCCTTTAGCTATGAATAAAATTTTGTCAATAACGCTTTTAGTAATATGCTAGCTGACAATTCTCTCATTCGTCTACAAAAATGAGAACTATTATGTAGGTTTTACAGAAAAGATGTATAAAAATTAAAACTAGAGACTGTATTAAATTTCTAACTTCATACAATACCTCTAAGTATTACCGTTTGTCTAAGATTACTTGAAACCATAAAACACTTATCTTACTTATTTTGTCATTTTATCCTTTACTTTAAATTGCTTTTATGTAAAGTCAATAATATTTATTTTTATTTTTAGATAAGTAAAATTTAAGAAATACTTACAAAAGTATGGCTAAATTTACTCAACAATCTTCAACAAATGGCCATATTATTCCTTTCTGAGCTTATCCCTTAACTTGATCTGCCAAGACAACTTAAATATCTCTTTTAGCGCTACAATTGTTTCATATTTGAATGTAATTTTAACAATAATTATAGGTAAGATAGTTAATTTTTTGTTTTTTACATTATTAATTTGATTCAACTTCAATATCATAAATTTAGTGGATGTAATCAAATAAGCGATAAATCTAGATATTTTAATTAATCAAAAATATCTTTTAACAAAATTAATTAAATAAACAAATCAATTTTTATTAAATTTATTAATCGTATTCTAAAAATCTATTTATTTATTTATTTGATTAATTGTTTAAAAAGGGTACTTGGTGGAGTATCATGATTTTAGCTTTTCTTTTAAAGATTCTACGAATTATCTAGCTAAGCAGGATAGCTTTTCAGGATTGATTTTACTGATTTTAAGAACAATTTTGATTTGGGTAAATTAACATTATAATCACAAGATATTGGCTATATATTCTTCGCTTTACTTCTTTTTAGAGACTATTAATTCGATTTTTAACCACCAATATTTATCAAATGATATTAATAAAATTTACATCTACTTCACGATTTCTTCATTTTAAATTTCAATATGCTATTTGATTCAAATCTTTGTTTTTAATAGCTCAGATATCATTCTTGTATGCTTACTAACTGTTCCTTTAACCATCATGATCATAAGATAATTCTAACAATATCATAACCAAAACTAACTTTATCTCTTTTGCAATACTCAACAACTCTTTTAATGTAGCATAGAAAATTTCTAGAAAATTTTAAGATCAACTCTTTAATAAGTATAGATTAACTAAAAAAATCTTATATAAAAGGATTATAAAATAGTAATTGAAAGTATTATTAATTCCCATTAATTATATTGCCCTACCAAAGACTTCTATTTTTGCCATAGATCAAAAAAATCTGTAAAGTTCTTCTTTAATTTTTTGTTGGAAATTAAGTTACAGCTTTTTATTTGGGATAATTTCCAATAATTAAACATAAACCTTCATCTAATAAAATCTAACTTAATTTAATTAGATATTATGCAATTTATAATTTATTCCACCGCAAACTCCACCAACATTTTTGAATTTTTTACTTTAAAAAAAATAAAATATTTATCTTTAATCATAAAGGAATTTAATTCTGAAATAAAATCTGAAGAAAATACAGAAAAATATTCTAAAAAAGAGTTCATAGAAAAAGTAATTTATTATACAATCGAAAAATTTATTTAGAATTATTAAAGAAATGATAAAAATGACAATGTTATCATTCTAAGATTTGTGTAGCTCAACTATCTATTTGAAATTATAAAAGATCCACTTTAAGTTTTAATAAATCTTGAATAAATTTCATAACAATTCATCAAAACTAATCAAATGAAATCATCTCAAATATTTTACTATTATTAACTCAAAGAGAGAATTATAAAGTTTTATGAAGATACTTTTTTTAATTCAAATATTGAAAACTAAAAAATCAATATGATGGATGCTATTTATTTTGGTGATAAAATTAATGAATGCAAAGAAAAGCTTAGATCTGCATTGATTTAGAGCGGCCAGTTTTATGATTTGCTTTGTGGAGATTTTATTTCTTTAAAATTTATTCAAGATTTATCTACCCCATTGTTAGAATTAAAGGAAGAAATTGAGTCAAACTTTATAGAACTTTTAAAAATAAACCCTAATGACTTAGATCTTTAATATTTAGTTTGCATTTACGTTTAAGTTTTAGATTTTTAAAATAGAAGAATATCCTAATTTTAAAAAGAGGCTTTTTATAATTTAGAGCTTGCTTAAAAATAAAAAAACTATAAGATAAATTGTTTGAAATAAAATTATTTCTATGGAAAAAATTGCGTTGTTTTTTCTTCTCTATTAAAAAACACATTTTCTATTAATTTGGTTTCAAACTCTTTTTTTAAAATTTTTGGCATTAAACCTGATATGGTGGTAGGAAAGTAACTAAATATATTAATTCCTAAGGCAATAAAGAAAGATCATGATAAAATGATATAAAATTTTATTGATCAAGACTCAATGAGTATTATTGGAAAAGGTAATTTCAGTTTTTATTTACTAATTTTGGTTGGTTTTAAATTTGATAATAATTATAATAAAGGGGAAAGAAATACCTTTGCATTAGATTATAATGGATTCGTTTTTCCTATTTCATTAAGAATCAAAATAGAAATGCTAACTGAAGATGTTGGAGTTTGCGCATTAATAAAAAAAATAAATAATTAAAAAGACTATATTCTATTTGATGAAAAGGGAAATATTACAGATTATTCTAAAAAAATTTACTGTGAATTATTTTAAACTACAGAAAAGAAAATTGGTAATTTTAATTCATAAATTATTTTTTTTTAATTTTTTTAATTTACTTAGATTTTTTATTTTAACTAAAAACTTAATATTTTATATTATTACATTAATTAGATGATAACCAAAATATCTTTAATATGATTTTGAATCTACAAGAAATAATACAGAAAAAGTAAATGTATACTCAATTTTGCAGCGTTTTGATTTCTGTAAAGTAAGATAAAAAGTTTAAATCTTAAAAAATATAAGAAAATCTAATTTTCACTTCTGTTAATAATTAAAATAATCTTTATTCCTTTAATGATGATGTGTTTATTATAAAATTTAAAGTTTGTTAAAAATAAGCAAGAATTAATGTCAATATGACTTATCTAGAAATAGAGAGTTACGAAAAAGAAACAAATCAAAACAAGAAGAATAAAATTATTGATGAGTTAAATAAGCAATTAATTTAAAGAGAAATACATAGTAATTTAAATAAACCTACGATAAGAAGTATAAGTACTGGCACTTTCAGTTAATTAGAACATCAAATATTTGATGGAAGAATTTCTTAAAATTTAGAAATAAATAATAGCTTTCTCTAAAGAAATTTGCAAGAAGATTAAAAATATTAAAAAGCAAGGAAATGGAGCATTTTTAACTTAAATAGTTAATCGATAAAAGGAAATGAATTAAATCAAGCTCTTAATTAAGAATAAAAAGATGAATACCTTACAAAATCCTTTTCAGAATTACCTAGTACATACAGATATTATAGAATGCAAGAGTTTTATGAGAATCATGCTGATAGCATTGATTAATTAAATTAAAATGGTGGTATCTATGATATTACATCATATAGAAGTAGTAATATAAACGAGAATAAATAAATAGGAATTCATAAAATGCTTTCAAATTTAAATAATAGCAACAATAATACCATTAATTTTTACACAACGATAGACCATAGTTTATCACATCACAGACAAAAATAATATCTACTTGCAAATGATTAATTTGATTCTAACTAAATAATCACAGCTAACTCAAAGTTATTTATTGATCAAGCAAATAATCCATCTGATTTTTGTATTAATTTCTTCCAAAACAATTAGAATGTAATTGAATAAAAATATAAAGATTTTAAAATAAATGAAAATTCTAATGGAGACAATATTTTAGACAGGAATTAACTTTAAAAAATTATGTCAGAAAGCGATAAATCCTTCAGCATAGAAGATAATCTTACAAATAAAAATAAAAGAAAAATGAGAGATTTTTAAGGAAAAGAAGAGTTAATACAAGAGCAGTAAAATGAAATAGCGAGTGTAAACTCAAGTAAATATAGCCAAGAAGATAGAATTAAAAAGAATATGATTAGAAGAATACAATAAAAAATATTTGCGAAGAGTTTGTATATTATGGCTTTTGCTGGTTTTGTAGCTTCTATTACTTTAATTATAGTAACTATAATTATTTACTTGGAAAATATAAATAGCTTAGATAACTTTATTGATTCTTTTTTGAAAATTGATGGAACTATTTTTTGTTTCATAGATGTTATGAAAATTTTAGCTTTGTCCAACTATTAATATATGTTAGGCACCACACCAATCATTTAAGATAGTTTAGATTTGCAAAACTAAGAAAATGTATAAGTATTTTTTTAAATGAATTCTGTTATTTAAGATTATAGCAATAATTTTTAGCAACTTGTTTTAAATAATACTAGTTAAGAGTAGCTGGATGAGCTCTAAAACAACCCTTTTTTAATATAAATATATCCTATTTACTTTTATTATTCTACTGATGTTTCAAAATATTAGATCACATCTTACAACCAAAGTTTACAATATACAATCATGCAATATTTCTACTAAATAATATTTTATGTTTACAATTACACTGAATAATAAGAAAGCTTCATATGGGGTAATATAGTTTAATTTTAATCAAGAATGAAGAATCTTCAGTTGATTGTTGAAAATTATGTATAAACACAATTTAAGAATATGGAAGAGTAGTAAATGTCAGTTATTATACTAGTTGGTATCCTAAGCTTTTTGGTGGTTTTTTCAATCATACCTTTATATATATATATTTAAATAAAAAGAGAAAAGGTTATGAAACTATTTGGTACTTTTTAGCCTCAAATTCTTGAATTTTAAATATAATTAATAGAACTTGCCATTTTTAAGATAGATAGGACAAAGATGGTAACTGAATTAGATAAAAAAATGCAACCAAGCAATAAATCTTCAAAAATGTTACAAAGTATTTATAGAAAAGACTTAATAGAATAAGCTGTAGAATTCCATAATAAAGTAAGTCAAAAGAGAAATAATAGTTTTAAATAAATGGATTTATTACCAAAATATATAAAGAGATTGTAGCATTCTCGAAACAGATCTATGGCATCATTTAATAACTTAACTAAATTTAATATGCCAATTATTTTCTTAGGTATTATTGCAATAGTACTCTTATGCATTCAGCCTGCATTAAATATTTTTTAATTCAACCCTTTTCAAACTGAAACAAGGGCTACTTTACAAGATAGAATTACACTTATAGATGTCTTTACTTTGCTTATTGAAAATTAAGCTTCTCACATTGAATAAATTTTATGCTTAAGTATTAATTATCTCCCTTCTACAACTTACTATTATTCTTTTCTTTAGAATATCACTGATTCTAATTAGCAAAAGATTTCATAATTACAAAATTTAACAACAAATTTAGGAATTTAAAGATACAATTAAAATTTATTTGATGATTTTTATAAAAATATACTAAATTAAGATTTATGTCAAGTCAGACAAAATTTTCCATAATATTTTAATTCAAATTTGACTTAAGCAACATGTGAAAATTTATTTAATGGGATATTATAAAGGGGATTAATTTTATCAATAAACAAAGTATTTTAAACTTTTGACGAACTAATGGAAATGTACACAATTAATGACTTGGCTTAATAAACTGATTATTATATTAAATTTCAAAGCTAATATTCTTTTATCAATTTTAAGTTTTTAGTGCAGATTATATCTGAATCTGTAGACGCAATTAGATAGTATTAAAATCAGTCTTTGTAAGATTACAAAAATCATTTAGAAAAAAATTTATTTTATTTGCTTATTGCATAATTAATTATTATCACAATAGTATTCTTGATAGGTTGGTTAAAACTCTTTTAAACCTTTTTTGATTCACTAGAAAAAACATAGAATATTTTCAAAGCATTTCATATTAATATGCTTTACGAAAACGACTATATCCAATCTTATTTCAAATAAATATATATAAATTAAAAAAAATGAATTTAAAACAGCTGTAAAATCTAAAACAAACATGTCTAGTATGCTCTAAAAAATTGTTTCTTTGAATCTATTTTTCTAATTTTAAATTGATGAGTCAGTTTTTAATGAAAAAAATTTTATTAATAAATAAATTACTATTTATACCTTTAATAAATTTTATTTTTGAAGAAACAATTAATAAATCAAACAAATTTAAATTATCCAATTGTATTAATTCATTTTTCAAGAAAATTGAAATTCTAGAAATAAAATTCTAAATATAAAATAAATTTTTTTATTTTTTATAAATAATTATATTTACTTACAAAAAGATGAATGATATTTATTATATAAAAACAATAATAAAATCTATCTATCTATTTTTATTTTATATTATAAAAACTATTTTAAAATATTATTTTTAAAAATATCTTATTATTCAAACATTAAAAATTTATTCATCTTTTTTTCAACAGTTATTAATCAACAGAATTCTATTTTAAAGACAACTAATCTTTTTGATTTAAGACACTTGCTTATTACTTTGAATTTTTATGATTCACTTATTGAGCTAAAACTTTTAAAATAAATTTGAGTAAATTTTAATTAAATATCAAAATAGAATAAACTTTTAAATTAAAAATAATTTCTTAATTTAATAAATATAATAGCATGATTGGAATAAAAAAGATAAAAAATAAATCAAATAAAAGCTATCAAACGAATTCAAAGAGCTTTTTTGTTTTATATTAATTTTTATAGTTTAAAATATCACAATCAAAAATTATAAACTGATGCACCGATTGCACCAATTTAATTGTAACTTTTTTAAATATTGAAGAAAAAATATATCATTAAATAGTTAATTAGAAGGAAAAAAAAAAGAAAAAATATGAAATAATAATATTAATTAATAAATAATAAAAGCAAAATTTGAAAATAAAACGATGAGTTAAATTAACAAAAAAAGAACAAAAAAAAGCAAGCACAATAAAAAGAAAAAAAAAAAAAAATAGTTTTTATAATTAAAAATATCACAATCTAAAATAAATAAACTGTTTTTACCTAAGATTAAGTGTCAAATTTGAGAGATTAATGTAATTTGCTAAACCAGAACATAAGCCTGATGCACCTTCATCACCAATTTAATTGTCTCTTTTTAAATATTGAAGAAAAAATATATCATTAAATAGTTAATTAGAAGAAAAAAATGAAGAAAAAATATGAAATAATAAGATTAATTATTTAATAATAAAAGTAAAAGTTTAAAATAAAATTATATGAGCTAAATTAACAAAGAAAGAAAGAACAAAAAATAAAACGCAAGCACAATAAAAAGAAAAAGAAAAAAAAAAGATCTTTATTGTTTTTAATTAGATTTTATAATTAAAAATATCACAATCCAAAACAAATAAACTGTTTTTACCTAAGATCAAGTGTCAAATTTGAGAGATTAATGCAATTTGCTAAAGAACAACCTAAGCCGTATGCGCCTTCATCACCAATTTAATTGTTACTTTTTAAATATTGAAGAAAAAATATATCATTAAATAGTTAATTAGAAGGAAAAAATGAAGAAAAAATATGAAAAAATAAGATTAATTAATAATAAAAGCAAAAGTTGAAAAATAAAATAATGAGCTAAATTAATAAAGAAAGAATAAAAAAAAGCAAGCATAATAAAAATAAAAAGAAAAAAGAGCTTTATTGTTTTAAATTAGATTTTATAATTAAAAATATCACAATTCATAACAAATAAACTGTTTTTACTTAAGATCAAGTGTCAAATTTGTTAGATTAATGCAATTTGTTAAACCAGAACCTAAGCCTGATGCACCCATTGCATCAATTTCATTGTTACTTTTTAATATTGAAGAAAAAATATATCATAAAAAAAAATAAATAAATAAACACCAATAACCATTTGAAAAAAGTAAAATTAAGAAAAATCAAAAATCAATAAAAACAAAAAAGAAAAACTATTATAAAATATAATACATTATTATTATTTGTGTATGTAGCCTTGAAAAAAGGCAGTACCCTAGGGTACTATATATAAATATATCATTAAATTGTTAATTAGAAAGAAAAGAAGAAGAAAAAATATGAAATTATAAGATTAATTAATTAATAATAAAAGCAAAAGTTGAAAATAAAATGATGAGCTAAATTAATAAAGAACAAAAAACAAAAAGCAAGCACAATTAAAAGAAAAAGAAAAAAAAAAGAGCTTTATTGTTTTTAATTAGTTTTTATAATTAAAAATATCACAATCCAAAACAAATAAACTGTTTTTACCCAAGATCAAGTGTTAAATTTGAGAGATTAATGTAATTTGCTAAAGCATAACCGAAGCCTGATGCACCTTCATCACCAATTTAATTTCTACTTTTTAAATATTGAAGAAAAAATATATCATTAAATAGTTAATTAGAAGGAAAAAATGAAGAAAAAATATGAAATAATAAGATTAATTAATTAATATTAAAAGCAAAAGTTGAAAATAAAATGATGAACTAAATTAACAAAGAAAGAAAGAACAAAAAACAAAAAGCAAGCACAATAAAAAAAAAGAAATAAGAGCTTTATTGTTTTTAATTAGTTTTTATAATTCAAAATATCACAATCCAAAACAAACAAACTGTTTTTACCCAAGATCAAGTGTTAAATTTGAGAGATTAATGCAATTTGCTAAAGCAAAACCGAAGCCAGATGCACCTTCATCACCAATTTAATTGTCACTTTTTAAATATTGATGAAAAAAAAAATCATTAAATATTTAATTAGAAGGAAAAAATGAAGAAAAAATATGAAATAATAAATAAGATTAATTAATAATAAAAACAAAAATTGAAAATAATATGATGAGCTAAATTAACAAAGAAAGAAGGAACAAAAAACAAAAAGCAAGCGCATTAAAAAGAAAAAGAAAAAAAAGAGAGCTTTATTGTTTTTAATTAGTTTTTATAATTAAAAATATCACAATCCAAAACAAATAATCTGTTTTTACCAAAGATCAAGTGTTAAATTTGAGAGATTAATACAATTTGCTAAAGCAGAACCGAAGCCTGATGCTCCTTCATCACCAATTAAATTTCTACTTTTTTAAATATTGAAAAAAAAATATATCATTAAATAGTTAATTAGAAGGAAAAAATGAAGAAAGAATATGAAATAATAAGATTAATTAATTAATAATAAAATCAAAAGTTGAAAATAAAATGATGAACTAAATTAATAAAGAACAAAAACAAAAAGCAAGCACAATAAAAAGAAAAAGAAATAAGAGCTTTATTGTTTTTAATTAGTTTTTATAATTAAAAATATCACAATCCAAAACAAACAAACTGTTTTTACCCAAGATCAAGTGTTAAATTTGAGAGATTAATGCAATTTGCTAAAGCAGAACCTAAGTCTGATGCACCTTCATCACCAATTAAATTTCTACTTTTTAAATATTGAAGAAAAAATATATCATTAAATAGTTAATTAGAAGGAAAAAATGAAGAAAGAATATGAAATAATAAGATTAAGTAATTAATAATAAAAGCAAAAGTTGAAAATAAAATGACGAGCTAAATTAATAAAGAACAAAAACAAAAAGCAAGCACAATAAAAAGAAAAAGAAAAAAAAAAGAGCTTTATTGTTTTTAATTAGTTTTTATAATTAAAAATATCACAATCCAAAACAAATAAACTGTTTTTACCCAAGATCAAGTGTTAAATTTGAGAGATTAATGTAATTTGCTAAAGCAGAACCGAAGCCTGATGCACCTTCATCACCAATTTTATTGTAACTTTTTAAATATTGAAGAAAAAATAACTCATTAAATAGTTAATTTGAAGGAAAAAATGAAGAAAAAATATGAAATAATAAGATTAATTAATTAATTAATATTAAAAGCAAAAGTTGAAAATAAAATGATGAACTAAATTAACAAAGAAAGAAAGAACAAAAACAAAAAGCAAGCACAATAAAAAGAAAAAGAAATAAGAGCTTTATTGTTTTTAATTAGTTTTTATAATTAAAAATATCACAATCTAAAATAAATAAACTGTTTTTACCCAAGATTAAGTGTCAAATTTGAGAGATTAATGCAATTTGCTAAAGAAAAACCTAAGTCTGATGCACTAATTGCACCAATTTAATTCAAACTTTTTAAATATTGAAGATAAAAAATATATTTAATAGTTAATAAGAGGGAAAAAATGAATAAAAAATAAGAAATAATATGATTAATTAATAATAAAAACAAAAATTGAAAATAAAATGATGAGCTAAAATAAAAAAGAAAATACAATAAAAAGCAAGCATTATAAAAAGAAAAAGAAAAAAGAACTTTATTGTTTTTAATTAGTTTTTATAATTAAAAATATCATAATCCAAAACAAATAAACTGATTTTACCTAAGATCAAGGGTCAAATTTGAGAGATTAATGCAATTTGCTAAACCATAACCTAAACCTGATGCACCTTTATCACCAATTTAATTCTTCCTTTTCAAATATAGAAGAAAAAATAACTTATTAAATAGTTAATTTGAAGGAAAAAATGAAGAAAGAATATGAAATAATAAGATTAATTAATTAATAATAAAAGCAAAAGTTGAAAATAAAATGATGAGCTAAATTAATAAAGAACAAAAACAAAAAGCAAGCACAATAAAAAGAAAAAGAAATAAGAGCTTTATTGTTTTTAATTAGTTTTTATAATTAAAAATATCACAATCTAAAATAAATAAGCTGTTTTTACCCAAGATTAAGTGTCAAATTTGAGAGATTAATGCAATTTGCTAAAGAAAAACCTAAGTCTGATGCACTAATTGCACCAATTTAATTCAAACTTTTTAAATATTGAAGATAAAAAATATAATTAAACAGTTAATAAGAGGGAAAATATGAAGAAATAATATGATTTAATAAGATTAATTAATATTAAAAATAAAAATTGAAAATAAAATGATGAGCTAAAATAAAAAAGAAAATACAATAAAAAGCAAGCACAATAAAAAGAAAAAGAAAAAAGAACTTTATTGTTTTTAATTAGTTTTTATAATTAAAAATATTAAAATTCAAAACAAATAAACTGTTTTTACCTAAGAAAAAGTGTCAAATTTGTGAGATTAATGCAATTTGCTAAAGCAAAACCTAAGCCTGATGCACCTTCATCACCAATTTAATTCTTCCTTTTCAAATATTGAAGAAAAAATATATCATTAAATAGTTAATTAGAAGAAAAAAATGAAGAAAAAATAGGAAAAAATAAAATTAATTATTTAATAATAAAAGCAAAAGTTGAAAATAAAATGATAAGCTAAATTAATAAAGAATAAAAAACAAAAACAAGTACAATAAAAAGAAAAAGAAATAAGAGCTTTATTGTTTTTAATTAGTTTTTATAATTAAAAATATCAATATCCAAAAAAAATAAACTGTTTTTACTCAAGATTAAGTGTCATATTTGAAATATTAATGCAATTTGCTAAAGCAGAACCTAAGTCTAATGCACCCATTGCACCAATTTAATTCTTCCTTTTTAAATATTGAAGAAAAAATATATCATTAAATAGTTAATTAGAAGGAAACAATAATGAAAAAATATGAAATAATAAGATTAATTAATTAATAATAAAAGTAAAAGTTGAAAATAAAATGATGAGTTAAATAAAATATTAAAGAACAAAAAATAAAAATCAAGCACAATTAAAAGAATAAGAAAAAAAAAAGAGCTTTATTGTTTTTAATTAGTTTTTATAATTAAAAATATCACAATCCAAAACAAATAAACTGTTTTTACTCAAGATTAAGTGTCAAATTTGAGAGATTAATGCAATTTGCCAAAGAACAACCTAAGCCTGATGCACTCATTCCACCAATTTCATTGTAACTTTTTAAATATTGAAGAAAAATATATCATTAAATAGTTAATAAGAGGGAAAAATATGAAATAATAAGATTAATTAATAATAAAAATAAAATGATGAGCTAAATTAACAAAGAAAATACAAAAAAAAGCAAGCACAATAAAAAGAAAAGAAAAAAGAACTTTATTGTTTTTAATTAGTTTTTATAATTAAAAATATCAAAATCAAAAACGAATAAACTGTTTTTACCGAAGATCAAGTGTCAAATTTGTGAGATTAATACAATTTGCTAAAGCAAAACCTAAGCCTGATGCACCTTCATCACCAATTTTATTGTAACTTTTTAAATATTGAAGAAAAAATATATCATTAAATAGTTAATTAGAAGGAAAAAATGAAGAAAAAATATGAAATAATAAGATTAATTAATCAATAATAAAAGTAAAAGTTGAAAATAAAATAATGAGCTAAATTAACAAAGAAAGAAAGAACAAAAAACAAAAAGCAAAAAGCAAGCACAATAAAAGAAAAAGAAAAAAGAGCTTTATTATTTTTAATTAGTTTTTATAATTAAAAATATCAAAATCCAAAACAAATAAACTTTTTTTACTCAATATTAAGTGTCAAATTTGTGAGATTAATGCAATTTGCTAAAGCAGAACCTAAGCCTGACGCACCCATAGCACCAATTTAATTGTAACTTTTTAAATATTGAAGAAAAAATAGATCATTAAATTGTTAATTAGAAGGAAAATATGAAGAAAAAATATGAAATAATAATATTAATTAATTAATAATTAAAGCAAAAGTTGAAAATAAAATGATGAGCTAAATTAACAAAGAAAGAAAGAAAGAAAGAAAGATAAAAGCAAGTACAATAAAAAGAAAAAAAAAAATAGTTTTTATAATTAAAAATATCACAATCCAAAACAAATAAACTGTTTTTACCTAAGATCAAGTGTCAAATTTTTGAGATTAATGTAATTTGCTAAACCAGAACCTAAACTTGATGCACCTTCATCACCAATTTAATTGTCACTTTTTAAATATTGAAGAAAAAAAATATCATTAAATAGTTAATAAGAGGGAAAAAGTGAAGAAAAAATATGAAATAATAAGATTAAATATATAATAAAAAATGCCCATGAGCTCAGAAAAAAATAAAAAAATATATTTCATCTCTCGGTCCCAACAAGTTTGTAAAATTTTTCAAAATTTATTTTTTCAAAAAAATGATATGTTGTTAGAATATACAGTGTATATATAATATTTGAAATTATACATTTTGTGAATTTAAAGCTTAGTAAAAACTCAAAAATAAAGCTGTTTTAAGCAATTTAGCTTTATTTATTATGTTAATAATATATATTACATTTTGCCTTTTGCAAATTAAATAGGCATTTCACTCTAGTTAATTAGAAGGAAAAAATGAAGAAAAAATATGAAATGATAAGATTATGAAAAAAAAAAGAAATCATAATTAAAAGAAAAAGGAAAATAAATAAAATAAATTAAATTAAAAGAGCTTTAATATATCTTTTAAATTAACTTTTCTAATTAAAAATATTACAATCTAAAACTTATTAACTGCTTTTATTAAGTGTATGTTTCAATATCAAAAAATGAAGAAAATATATCAAATAATAAAAATGAATAATAAGTAATTTAAAATTCAAATAAAAATTAAGTTAAAATGCTAAAAAATTTTAGTTTTAAAAAAATCAATAAATCATGATGATAATTTCTATAACAAAAATTATTTATTTAAAAAAATTTAAAGTTAAATATCTAAAAAATATTAATAATAATAAAAGTAATGTTAATTAATAAAATATACTTGAGATCAATATGGAGTATCTAATGAGATAAAAGTGAAGAGCTTAAAAACTTTTTTTATTAATTTATTTAAATTTAAAGGATATTAATAAAAAAATTAATAATTACTTCTTCTAATCTGTTGTAATATTTAATCTATTATAACATTTATTTTTTTTTTCAAAAATATTGAATAGCAAATTATGAAATTTAATTAATTATAATGGATAAAAAGAACAAATAAAATTTAATAAGTAATTATCAAATAATAAATTATTTATTTTGTTTTATGAAGAGATATCACAGAAAAATTAATTTAAAATTCATAATTTAATCTTAATATTTATATTTAAAACATATAAATAAAAATATTGTAGGAATTAGAGATGGCAGTTAGTTAGTTAATCATATTTGAAAAAATTCTAGAAATTAATTAATTAATGCTCTGAAATTTAATTATTACTATTATTATTAATAGTTAAACACACAAAATAAAGATATGCAAATAATTATTTATTTATTTAATTATATATTTATTTATTTATACTAATTATAGTAATTAATTATTTTATTTTTTAAACTTTAATTAAGAATTCAATTTAAAATTTTTGATGTAAAAAAATTATTTATTTATTTTTGATTATAATTCTATTATAAAATATCAAATCAGATTTTTTATTTATTTAATAAAAATCTATTTTATCATAAGTGGCATGCAAACCACGAAATTTTTGTATGGCATCTTGATTTAATTAAAGGTATTATAAAAATTCCTAAAATTAGAGAACTAAAACAGAAAAATCTACTTATAAATATTATTTTTATAATATTTAAGAACATTAACTACTAGAATTTTTTCAAATATGATTAAATAACTGGCCATCTCTAATTCCTACTGTATTTTTAAGTATATGTTTTAAATACAAATATTAAGTTAAAATAATCAATGTTAAATTAACTTTTCTATGATATTTCTTCATATAACCAAATATATAAATAATATTTGATAATTAATTATTATATTTATTTGTTGTTTTTATCCATTTATAATTAATTAAATTTCATAAATTGTGATTCAATATTTTTGAAAAAAAATAAATGATATAATAGATTAAATATTACGAAAAATTAGAAGAAGTAATTATTTATTTTTTTATTTATATCCTTCAAATTTATATAAATTAACAATAAAAGTTTATAAGCTCTTCACTTTTATCTCATTAGGTTCTCCATATTAATCTGAAGTATATTTTATTAATTAATAATATTTTTATTATTATTGATATTCTTTATATATTTAACTTTCAATTTATTTAAATAAATAATTTTTGTAATAGAAATTATTATCATTCTTTATTGATTTTTATAAAAATAAAAATTTTTTAACTATTTTAACTTAATTTTCATTTCAATTTTTAATTATTTATTATTCATTTTTTTATTATTTGATATATTTTCTTTATTTTCTGCTATTAAAACTTACACTTAATAAAAGCAATTTACTAGTTTTGAATTGTAATATTTTTAATTACAAAAGTTAATTTAAAACATTAGAGCTCTTTTAATTTACTTGATTTATTTTCCATTTTATTTTTTCATTCTTTGTTAATTTTATTAATTATTAATTAATATTATTATTTCATATTTTTTCTTCATTTTTTCCTTCTAATTAACAAGAGTGAAATGCCTATTTAATTTATAAAAGGCAAAATGTAAAATATCTTAATAAAATAATAAATAAAGCTAAATTAGCTTCAAAAAGCTTTATTTTTTAGTTTTTAGAAAGCTTTAGTTCAAAAAATGCAAAATTTGAAATAATTTATACCTTATATTTTTATAACATATCATTTTTTTTAAGAAAAATAAATTTTGAAAAATTTTACAAAAATGGGCTTTTTTCAAAAAATATAAGTTCATTAAATTCCCTGGGATGAAAGAAAATTAGGTAAAAATATTTAAAATTTTAATTTTATAAAATGTAAAAACGGTACTTTTTGTAAATTTGTATGGCAACTTACTCTATTTAAAGATATATTTTTTCTTAAATATTTAAAAAGTGATAATGTAATTGGTGCAATGGGCGTATCAGGCTTAGGTTCTGCTTTAGCAAATTGCATTAATCTCTCAAATTTGACACTTCACCTTAAGTAAAAACAGTTTATTTGTTTTTGATTGTGATATTTTAATGATAGAAACTAATTTAAAACAATAAAGCTCACTTTTCTTTTTCTTTTTATAGTTCTTGCTTTTTTTGTTCTTTCTTTGTTTATTTAACTCATTATTTTATTTTCAACTTTTGCTTTTATTATTAATTAATCTTATTATTTCATATTCTTTCTTCATTTTTTCCTTCTAATTAACTATTTAATGGTATATTTTTTCTTCAATATTTAAAAAGGTCCAATTAAATTGGTGCAATGGATGCATCAGGCTTATGTTCTGCTTTTAAAAATGTAATTAACCTCTCAAATTTGACACTTGATCTTTAGTAAAAACAGTTTATTTCTTTTAGATTGTGATATTTTTAATTATAAAAACTAATTTAAAACAATAAACCTCTTTTTTCTTTTTCTTTTTATTGAGATATTGAGAATGCTTTTTTTTGATTTCTAATTAACTATTTAATGATATATTTTTTCTTCAATATTTAAAAAGTGGTAATGTAATTGGTGTAATGGGTGCATCAGGCTTAGGTTCTGGTTTAGCAAATTGTATTAATCTCTCAAATTTGACACTTGATCTTTCGTAAAAACAGTTTATTTGTTTTGGATTGTGATGTTTTTAATTATTTTTACAATAAAGCTCTTTTTACTTTTTCTTTTTCTTTTTATTATGCTTGCTTTTTTTTGTTCTTTTTTTATTATCTAACTCATTATTTTATTTTAAACATTTGCTTTTATTATTAATTAATCTTATTATTTGATTTTCTTTCTTCATTTTTTCCTTCTAATTAACTATTTTATGATATATTTTTCTTTAATATTTAAATAGGTGGAATAAAATTTGTGATGAAGGTGCATCAGGCTTAGGTTCTGGTTTAGCAAATTGCATTAATCTCTCAAATTTGGCACTTCATCTTAAGTAAAAATCGTTTATTTGTTTTGGATTGTGATATTTTTAATTATGAAACTATTTTAAAACAATAAAGTTCTTTTTTCTTTTTGTTTTTATTGTGCTTGCTTTTTTTTTTGTTTTTTCTTTGTTTATTAAACTCATCATTTTATTTAAAAATTTTTCCTTTATTATTTCATATTTATCTTCATTTTTTTCCTTCTAAATAACTATTCAATGAAATATCTTTTCTTCAATATTTAAAAAGTGGCAATTATATTGGTGCAATGGGTGCATCAAAATTATGTTCTTCTTTAGCAAATTGCATTAATCTCTCAAATTTGATACTTCACCTTGGGTAAAAACAATTTATTTGTTTTGGATTGTGATATTTTTAATTATAAAAAAACAAATTTAAAACAATTAAGCTCTTATTTCTTTTTGAGCATACTTTTTTGTGTGTTCTAATTAAATATTTTATGATATATTTTTTCTCAATATTTAAAAAGGTCAAATTATTTTGGTGATAAAGGTGCATCAGAATTAGGTTCTGGTTTAGCAGATTGCATTAATATCTCAAATTTGACACTTCACCTTGAGTAAAAATACTTTATTTGTTTTGGATTGTGATATTTTTAATAATAAAAACTAATTTAAAACAATAAAGCTCTTTTTTCTTTCTTTTTCTTTTTATTGTGTTTGTCTTTTTTTGTTTATTTAACTCATCATTTTATTTTAAACTTTTCATTTATTAATTAATCTTATTATTTCATATTTTTTCTTCATTTCTTCGTTCTAATTAACTATTTAATGATATATTTTTTCTTCAATATGTAAAAAGGTGTAATAAAATTGGTGCAATTGGTGCATCAGGCTTAGGTTCTGGTTTAGCAAATTGCATTAATATCTCAAATTTGACACTTCACCTTGAGTAAAAACACTTTATTTGTTTTGGATTGTGATATTTTTAATAATAAAAACTAATTTAAAACAATAAAGCTCTTTTTTCTTTTTCTTTTTATTGTGTTTGTCTTTTTTTGTTTATTTAACTCATCATTTTATTTGAAACTTCTATTTTTATTATTAATTAATCTTATTATTTCATATTTTTCTTCATTTTTTCCTTCTAATTAACTATTTAATGATATATTTTTTTGTTAATATTTAAAAAGTTACAATTAAATTGGTGATAAAGATGCATCAGGCTTAGGTTCCGCTTTAGCAAATTGCATTAATCTCTCAAATTTGACACTTCACCTTAAGTAAAAACAGTTTATTTTTTTTTGGATTGTGGTATTTTTAATTATAAAAATTAATTTAAAACAATAAAGCTCTTTTTTTATTGTGCTTTCTTTTTTTTGTTCTTTTTTTGTTAATTTAACTCATCATTTTATTTTAAACATTTGCTTTTATTATTAATTAATCTTATCATTTCATATTCTTTCTTTATTTTTTCCTTCTAATTAACTATTTAATGATATATTTTTCCTTAATTATTTAAAAAGGTGCAATAAAATTGGTGCAAAGGGTGCATCAAGCTTAGGTTCTGGTTTAGCAAATTGTATTAATCTCTTAAATTTGACACTTCTCCTTGAGTAAAAACAATTTATTTGTTTTGGATTGTGATATTTTTAATTATAAAAACTAATTTAAAAAAATAAAGTTCTTTTTTCTTTTTCTTTTTATCGTGCGTGCTTGCTTTTTTTTCTTCTTTCTTTGTTTATAATATTTAACTAATCATTTTATTTTAAACTTTTCATTTAATCTTATTATTTAATATTCTTTCTTCATTTTTTCCTTCTAATTAACTATTTAATGATATTTTTTCTTCAATATTTAAAAAGTGAAAATTAAATTGGTGATAAAGGTGCATCAGGCTTAGGTTCTGGTTTAGCAAATTGCATTAATATCTCAAATTTAACAATTAGCCTTTAGTAAAAACAGTTTATTTGTTTTGGATTTTGATATTTTTAATTATTAAAACAAATTTAAAACAAAAAGCTCTTTTTTCTTTTTCTTTTATTTGTGTTTGCTTTTTTTTGTTTTTTATTTGTTTATTTAACTCATTTTTTTATTTTAAACTTTTCATTTATTATTAATTAATCTTATTATTTCATATTTTCCTTCATTTTTTCCTTCTAAATAATAATTTAAAAATATTTTTTCTTCAATATTTAAAAGTGAAAATTAAATTGGTGATAAAGGTTCATCCGATTTAGGTTCTGTTTTAGCAAATTGCATTAATCTCTCAAATTTGACATTTAACCTTAAGTAAAAACAGTTTATTTGTTTTGGATTGTGATATTTTTAATTTTAAAAACTAATTTAAAACAATAAACCTATTTTTTCTTTTTCTTTTTATCATGCTTACTTTTTTTTGTTCTTAATTTGTTTATTTAACTCATTATTTTATTTTAAATTTTTGCTTTTATTATTAATTAATTAATAAATCTTATTATTTCATATTTTTCCTTCATTTTTTCCTTCTAATTAACTATTTAATGATATATTATTTCTTCAAAATTTTAAAAGTAACAATTAAATTGGTAATAAAGGGGCATCAGGCTTAGGTTCTGGTTTAGCAAATTGCATTAATCTCTCCAATTTGACACTTTGCCTTAAGTAAAAACAGTTTATTTGTATTGGATTGTGATGTTTTTAATTATAAAAACAAATTTAAAAGAATAAAGCTCTTTTTTTTTCTATTTATTGTGCTTACTTTTTTTTTTTCTTTCTTTGATTATTTAACTCATCATTTTATTTTAAACTTTTGCTTTTATTACTAATTAATTAATCTTATTATTTCATATTCTTTCTTTATTTTTTTCTTCTAATTAACATTTAATGATATATTTTTTTGTTAATATTTAAAAAGGTGCAATAAAATTGGTGCAATGGGCGCATCAAGCTTAGGTTCTGGTTTAACAAAATGTATTAAGCTCTCAAATTTGACACTTAGCCTTTTGTAAAAACAGTTTATTTGTTTTGGATTGTGATATTTTGAATTATAAAAACTAATTTAAAACAATAAAGCTCTTTTTTCTTTTTCTTTTTCTTTTTATTGTGTTTGCTTTTTTTTGCTCTTTCTATGTTTTTTTAACTCATCATTTTATTTTAAACCTTTCATTTATTATTAATTAATTATATAATTTTATATTCTTTCTTTATTTTTTCTTTCTAATTAACTATTTAATGATATATAATTCTTCGATAATTAAAAAGTCGCAATTAAATTGGTGTAAAGGGTGCATTAGGCTTAGGTTCTGGTTTAGCAAATTTAATTAATCTCTCAAATTTGACACTTGATCTTTAGTAAAAACAGTTTATTTGTTTTGGATTGTGATATTTTTAATAAAAAAACTAATTTAAAACAATAAATCTATTTTTTCTTTTTATTGTGTTTGCTTTTTTTTGTTCTTTCTTTGTTTATTTAACTCATCATTTTATTTTAAACTTTTCATTTATTATTAATTGATCTTATTCTTTCTTCTTTTTTTTCCTTCTAATTAACTATTTAATGATATTTTTTTCTTCCATATTTAAAAAGTGAAAATTAAATTAGTGATGAAGGTGCATCAGGCTTAGTTTCTGCTTTAGCAAACTGTATTAATCTCTCAAATTTGAAACTTGGCCTTGAGTAAAAACAGTTTATTTGTTTTGGATTGTGATATTTTTAATTATAAAAAACAAATTTAAAACAATAAAGCTCTTTTTTCTTTTTCTTTTTATTGTGTTTGTCTTTTTTTGTTCTTTCTTTGCTTATTTAACTCATAATTATATTTTAAACTCTTCATTTATTATTAATTGATCTTATTCTTTCTTCATTTTTTCCTTCTAATTAACTATTTGATGATATTTTTTTTTGTCAATATTTAAAAAGGTGCAATAAAATTGGTGCAATGGGTGCATCAAGCTTAGTTTCTGGTTTAACAAATTGTATTAATCTCTCAAATTTGACACTTCTCCTTGGGTAAAAATAGTTTGTTTGTTTTGGATTGTGATATTTTTAATTATAAAAACAAATTTAAAACAATAAGGCTCTTTTTTCTTTTTCTTTTATTTGTGTTTGCTTTTTTTTGTTCTTTCTTTGTTTATTTAACTCATCATTTTATTTTAAACTTTTCATTTATTATTAATTAATCTTATTATTAGATTTTTTCCTTCTAAATAAATATTTAATGAAATATTTTTTCTTCAATATTTAAAAAGTGGTAATTAAATTGGTGATGAAGGTTTATCAGGCTTAGGTTCTGCTTTAGAAAATTGCATTAATTTCTCAAATTTGGCACTTCACCTTAAGTAAAAAAAGTTTATTTGTTTTGGATTGGTATATTTTTACTTATTAAAACTAATTTAAAACAATAAAGCTCTTTTTTCTTTTTCTTTTTATTTTGCTTGCTTTTTTTTGTCCTTTCTTTGTTTATAATATTTAACTAATCATTTTATTTTAAATATTTAACTATTTTATTATATATTTTTTCTTCAATATTTAAAAAGTGGCAATTAAATTGGTTCGAGAATAGAATAGAATAGAAATACTCGCACATAAATATGCACTCAGAATACATCTTAGTTAAATTATATTATAATATTTATATATATATATTTTTTTTTTATTTTTATTTTTTTTATTTTATTATTATTTATTTCATTTGATTGATATACGCTTTATCTTTAGTAAAAACAGTTTATTTGTATTGGATTGTGATGCTTTTAATTATAAAAAATAATTTAAAACAATAAAGCTCTTTTTTCTTTTTCTTTTTATTGTGTTTGACTTTTTTTGTTCTTTCTTTGTTTATTTAACTCATAATTTTATTTTAAACTTTTGCTTTTATAATAAATACATCTTATTATTTTATATTCTTTCTTTATTTTTTCCTTCTAATTAACTATTTTACGATACATTTTTTCTTCAATATTTTAAAGTGAAAATTAAATCGGTGATGAAGGTTCATCAGGCTTAGGTTCTGGTTTAGCAAATTGCATTAATCTCTCAAATTTGACACTTAATCTTTGGTAAAAACAGTTTATTTGTTTTGGATTGTGATATTTTTAATTATAAAAAATAATAATTTTTTTTTTCTTTTTATTGTGCTTGCTTTTTTTTTGTTCTTTTTTTATTAAATAACTCAATATTTTATTTTAAACTTTTGCTTTTATTATTGATTAATCTTATTATTTCATATTCATTCTTCATTTTTTCCTTCTAATTAACTATTTAATGATATTTGTTTTCTTCAATATTTAAAAAGTTCGAATAAAATTGGTGATGAAGGTTTATCAGGCTTAGGTTCTGCTTTAGCAAATTGCATTAATCTCTCAAATTTGGCACTTCACCTTAAGTAAAAACCATTTATTTGTTTTGGATTGTGATATTTTTAATTATAAAAACTAATTTAAGACAAAAAAGTTTTTTGAATTTATTTGATAGCTTTTATTTGATTTATTTATTTATTTATTATCTTTTTTATTCCACTGATGTTATTTTATTTATTTTTTTATTTATTAATTTAAAAAATAATTTTTAATTTAAAAGTTTATTCTATTTGATATTTATTAAAAATTTACACAAATTTATTTTAAAATTTTTAGCTAAATGAATGAATAAGAAAAATTCAAAGTAATAAGCAAGTGTCTTAAATCAAAAAGATTAGTTGTCTTTAGAAAATAATTCTGATGATAAGCAAATGGCAAAAAAAGGATGAATAAATATGAAATGTTTGAATAATTGAATATTATATGTTTTTTTGTTAAGTAATATTTTGAATTAACCTAAAATATATTAGATTTTATTATTGTTTTTTAATATAAATATCATTCATATTTATTTTTATAAATAAATAAATTATTTGTAAAAATAAAAAAATTTAAAAATTAAATTTACTTAAATAAATTAACTCCTCTTAAATAAACCCTCCTGTTTCTATAAAAACGATCAAATAATTTAAAACTTTAATGCAATATTATATCTTATTAAATTATATAAATATCATGCTCTTACATGCCAGTTATACTTTAATCTGAAATATTATTGATCAATCATATTTCTATCCTTTTTTTATTTACCATGATTAATTAGATACCATAATTTAAATAAAATCTCATAGAGATATCAAATTTTACTTATAAAAAACAAATTTTAATTAATTTTACAAAATTTTATTTGTTTATTTTCTATTTTTTTTAACTATATTTAAAAGTTGAATAGATTATATTAATTTTTATTTATAAAAAAAACATTGAACCTATTTTACAGATTTTTATTACCAAAATTTGAATTTAGCTGTATGTAAATTTTTATTTGAATATAATTTTAACAATAAAAATGCAAAAATAAACTTTTATGGATAAATTTGAATTCATTTTTAAATATTCTTTAATATATTTTAATACTGTAGTTAAACTTAAATACAAATTAATTAAAAGTTTTAGAAAAAAAGTCCATATTAATAAATTAAATAACTAATATTAATATTTATAATTAAAAATAATTAATTTAATATCATCTGATTTTTAATCAATAAAAATTTCTTAAAATCTGTCCATTTACAGGAGATTACTAAGCAAAAAATAAAAAGAAAAATCAAAATGTTCACCAAAAGAAAAAAAACTATTTATTGAATTAAATAAATTCACACATTAATTTTATAATTTAAAAAATAAAATTAGTTAATTAGTTAGTAGCATTTTTCTTTAAGAAAATAAAATAAATCACCATTTATCATTAAAACTATCTATCTATGTATCTATGTAAAAAAGAAAATTAGTTTTATAAGTTTTTTGTTATTTTTTCTTAGATTTGTTTATGTTTTCTTTTAAATTTTTTTAGAAAGTCTTATTAATTACTTAAAAAATATTTATTTAATGTATGTAAATTAATTATTTGATTACACTTATTTTTAATTAGTATAAATTGCTTTAAGGATAATATCTCTGGCTTAATTTGCAACTTTATCTAAAAACTAAAAATTTAGTAAAAAAATAAAGTGATAAAATGAAATAATAAAAGCAATCCACATAAAAATTTAATATTTAGAGCAAATTTTGCTGCCAAAGATTTTAATTTAAAGACTTTTATATTCATGAAATGATTAAAATTGATAGTCCTTTAGCTCTTAGCAAAATTATATCAATAATATTATTAGTAATATGCTAGCTTAGAGTTCTCTCATTCCTCTATAAAAATGAGAACTATTATGCAAATTTTTCAGAAGAGATTTATAAAAATTCTAATTTCATAGAATACCTCTAAATTGTACCTTTTGTATAAGATTACTTGAAAGCTTCTAACTGTTATTTATTCTAACTTTTTGTTTTATCCTTTATACTAAATTGCCTATATATTTACTTAATGTTATTTATACTTATTTTTAAATAAATAGAAATTAAGAAATATCTTTAGAAATATTGCTAGCTGTATATAAATATCTATAATAAACGGTTATTTTATTCATTTCTTAACTAATCATTTAATTTCATCTTTAAAGAAAACTAAATACTTTCCTCGTGTATTACAATTATTTTAGTATTTTAGTGCCATTCTAACTCTAGTTATAAGTAAAGTTATTAATTTTTTGTTTAGAATAATAATATTAAAATTAATTTATACTCAATTAGATAAATTTTATAGTGTAAATAGATTAATAAAATTATTTATTAAAATTTCAAGCTTATCATTTAATTAAAATTTTCTTAAGTATTTTCTAAGAATTTATTTATTAAATTTATTGTTCAAAGGTTACTTGATGGAATTTCATGATTTCAGTATTTCGTTTAAAGATTCTACTAATTATCTAGCTAAGCAATATAGTCATTCTTTTAATGTTTTTAAGGATTATTCTCATATGCATAAATTAGTTCTAAAATCACAAAATATTAGCTATATATTGTTCTCTACACTTCTTTTTAGAAACTGCTGCTAATTCCATTTTTAACTACCAATATTTATCAAATAATACAAATTAAATTTACATTTTGTTATCAATTTCTTCATTTTAAATTTGAATATGCTATTTGATCTAAATCTTTGCTCTTAATAGATATGATATTATTCTTCTTTGCATGCTTAATTTACCACTATCTATTATGCTTATAAGATATTTGTAGCAATAACACAATCAATACTTACTATATTAATTTTACAACATTCAATAGCTTTTTTATTATTGTATCAAAGATTTTTAGAAAATAATTAGGCTAATACACCGATTAGCATAAAGCAGCTAAAAAAATTTAATATTTTAGGATAAATAAATATTTTTTGAAATCATTTTCTATTCACATTAGTAGTATTGTTTTGCTTATGACTAATATAGTTTTTGTCATAGATACAAAAAACCAGTAATATTTATTTATTTGTTTATTAGATTTAAATTATTTCAATCTTTTATAACTTTAAGTAGCGCTTAATTCATGATAACAAACTAATTATAGATAAATAATCATCTAATACATACAACTTTTTCTAAATTTATTTCATCTAATTTTATATAATTTTTTTATATTAATATAAACTCCAACAAAATTTTACACTATTATATAAAATTTAAAAAAGTAAAATTTTTTTTTTTTCCTGTAATTTTAATTTTTAAATTTTTTATTTTATAAATAATTTATTTACTTACAAAAATAAATATAAATGATATTTATATTTTAAAAACAATAATAAAATCTATCTATCTATTTTTATTTTAGGTTAAAAAAACTTTTTCAAAATATTGATAAATAAAATATATAATATTATTCAAACAATTAATATTTATTCATCCTTTTTTAGCCACTTGTTTATCATCATAATTATTTTTTAAAGACAACTAATCTTTTTGATTTAAGACACTTGCTTATTTCTTTGAATTTTTATTATTCTTTCTAAAAGCTAAAAATTTATAATAAATCTGTGTAAATATATTTAAAACTTATTTCTTAAATTAATAAATAAATAAAAAAAAATAATATTAGTGGAATAAAAAAAGATAAAAAAATAAGTCAAATAAAAGCTATCAAATAAATTCAAAGAGCTTTATTGTTTTTAATTAATTTTTATAATTAAAAATATCACAATCCAAAACAAATAAACTGTTTTTACCGAAGATCAAGTATCAAATTTGAGAGATTAATGCAATTTGCTAAACCAGAACCTAAGCCTGATGCACCCATTGCACCAATATTATTCGAACTTTTATAAATATTGAAGAATAATATCATTAAATAGTTAAATAGAAGGAAAAAATGAAGAAAAAATATGAAATAATAAGATTAATTAATTAATAATAAAAGCAAATTTTGATAATAAAATGATGAGCTAAATTAACAAAGAAAGAAAGAACAAAAAAAAGCAAGCACAATAAAAATAAAAAGAGCTTTATTGTTTTTAATTAGTTTTTATAATTAAAAATATCACAATCCAAAACAAATAAACTGTTTTTACCGAAGATCAAGTGTCAAATTTGAGAGATTAATGCAATTTGCTAAACCAGAACCTAAGCCTAATGCACCTTCATTACCAATTATATTGTAACTTTTTAAATATTGAAGAAAAAATATATTATTAAATAGTAAATTAGAAGGAAAAAATGAAGAAAAAATATGAAACAATAAGATAATTAATTAATAAATAATAAAAGCAAAATTTGAAAATAAAATGATGAGCTAAATTAACAAAGAAAGAAAGAACAAAAAAAGCAAGCACAATAAAAAGCTTTATTGTTTTAAATTAGTTTTTATAATTAAAAATATCACAATCCAAAACAAATAAACTGTTTTTACTGAAGATCAAGTGTCAAATTTGAGAGATTAATGCAATTTGCTAAACCAGTACCTAAGCCTTATGCACCCATTGCACCAATATTATTCGAACTTTTATAAATATTGAAGAATAATATCATTAAATAGTTAAATAGAAGGAAAAAATGAAGAAAAAATATGAAATAATAAGATTAATTAATTAATTAATAATAAAAGCAAATTTTGAAATAAAATGATGAGCTAAATTAACAAAGAAAGAAAGAACAAAAAAAGCAAGCACGATAAAAAGAAAAAGAAATTAAGAGCTTTATTGTTTTTAATTAGTTTTTATAATTAAAAATATCACAATCCAAAACAAATAAACTGTTTTTACTGAAGATCAAGTGTCAAATTTGAGAGATTAATGCAATTTGCTAAACTAGAACCTAAGCCTGATGCACCTTCATCACCAATTCTATTGTAACTTTTTAAATATTGAAGAAAAAATATGAAATAAAAAGATTAATTAATTAATAAATAATAAAAGCTAAATTTGAAAATAAAATGATGAGCTAAATTAACAAAGAAAGAAAGAACAAAAAAAAGCAAGCACAATAAAAAGAAAAAGAAATAAAGAGCTTTATTGTTTTTAATTAGTTTTTATAATTAAAAATATCACAATCCAAAACAAATAAACTGTTTTTACTTAAGATAAAGTGTCAAATTTGAGAGATTAATGCAATTTGCTAAACCAGAACCTAAGCCTGATGCACCCATTGCACCAATTTTATTACACCTTTTTACATATTGAAGAAAAAATATATCTTTAAATAGTTAATTTGAAGGAAAAAATGAAAAAAAAATATGAAATAAAAAGATTAATTAATTAATAAATAATAAAAGCAAAATTTGAAAATAAAATGATGAGCTAAATTAACAAAGAAAGAAAAAACAAAAAAAAGCAAGCACAATAAAAAGAAAATAAAGAGCTTTATTGTTTTAAATTAGTTTTTATAATTAAAAATATCACAATCCAAAACAAATAAACTGTTTTTACTGAAGACTAAGTGTCAAATTTGAGAGATTAATGCAATTTGCTAAACCAGAACCTAAGCCTGACGCACCTTCATTACCAATTATATTGTAACTTTTGAAATATTGAAGAAAAAATATATAATTATATAGAGGAAGTTGCCATACAAATTTACAAAAAGCGAGTTTTATATACCATGTTTTTACATTTATAAAATTAAAATTTTAAATGTTTTTTCCAAATTTTTATTTAGAGTTTTTAAAATTTTTCAAAATTTATTTTTTTTCAAAAAATGATATGTTATAGGAATATATGGTATTATATATATTATTTCAAATTTTACATTTTGTGAATTTAAAGCTTTCTAAAAGCTTAAAAAATAAGGCTGTTTTAAGTGAATTTAGCTTTATTTATTATGTTATTAAGATATAATACATTTCGCCTTTTATAAATTAAATAGGCATTTCGCTCTAGTTAATTAGAATTAAAAAATGAAGAAAAAATATGAAATAATAAGATTAATAAATAATTAATAATATTAACAAAGAATTAAAAAAAGAAATCATAATAAAAAGAAAAAGGAAAATAAATCAAATAAATTAAAAGAGCTTTAATGTTTTAAATTAACTTTTATAATTAAAAATATTACAATCCAAAACTAATAAATTGCTTTTATTAAGTGTAAGTTTTAATAGCAAAAAATGAAGAAAAAATATCAAATAATAAAAAATTAATAATAAATTATTTAAAATTTAAATTTAAATTAAGTTAAAATAGCTTAAAAATTTTTGTTTTAATAAAAATCAATGAATAATGATATAATTTCAAAAATTAAAATTATTTATTTAAATAAATTGAAAGTTAAATATTTAAAAAATATTAACAATATTAAAAATAATATTTATAAATTAAATATACCTCAGACCAATATGGAGAACCTAATGAGATAAAAGTGAAGAGCTTAAAAACTTTTTTTATTAATTTATATAAATATAAAGGATAATCATAAAAAAATTAATAATTACTTCTTCTAATTCGTTATATTTTTTAATCTATTTTTTCATTTATTTTTTTTTCTCAAAATATTGAATAGCAATTTATGAAATTTAATTAATTAATTAATTATAAATGGATAAAAAGAACAAATAAATATAATAATTAATTAATTATCGAATATTAATTTATTAATTTTGTTTTATGAAGAGATATCACAGAAAAATTAATTTAAAATTCATTATTTAATCTTAATATTTGTATTTAAAACATTTTATTAAAAATATAGTAAGAATTAGAGATCGCCAGTTAGTATTATTTGAAAAATTCTAGTAGTTAATTAATGTTCTTAAATTTTATAAAAATAATGTTTATAAACAGATTTTTCTGTTTTAGCTCAGTAATCATAGGAATATTAATAATATCTCTAATTATTCTCTAATCACATTAGTTTTTTTTTGCAAGCGCATGTTATTTAGGTATATAGATTGCATCCACTAAATAAGTGCATTTAATACCAACTTAAATAACTTTTTAATATATAGAGTACATACAATACTTTATTCATTAGAGGTTTTAAAATTCAGAGAGTCAATGTAGCTAAGTATTCTAGATCATAAAAATAAAATGAATGGAGTAAAGGGCACAGAAATTATGGGCTTTACAGTATTTTAAGTGTTTTAAATATCTTATATCAATTTTCAAAAAAAAGATTTGATATTTCAAGAAAATTATCAAGAAAAAAGTAAATCAGCTAATTAAAAATTGCTATTGAAGCAAAACAATCTTATCATTTATTTGATTAACAAAGATTTAAAGAAACCATAGAGAGAAAAAAATCAAAAACTTAATTTAATTTTATTGATATTTTAAATGATAGTAGACATAGAGGAGCTATAGGCGACTATAGAAGAAAGTTTACCTCACTTCCTGATTCAGATATATTATTGATTGCTACATAAGCTGAACTCCTCCTTCAAACGCATATGGTGGTGTAGAAGATACGCTAGACTATAAGTTCCATCTTTGAAGTAGAAGAATGGAATCCTGATAAACTAATCTAGTGAGTAAATTATGAAGATCATAAATTTCTTAATCATATTAACACTCTCATAGGCAAAAATGAAGGATTTCCTTCATTTCTCAAATTAACTCCATCACTATAGGAATCGTTGTATAATGAATTACCATATAATGACTCTATGAACTTAATTTAAGATCTTTAACAACCTGTAAATTGCAATGAATTAGTTTCCATATTAGCTAAATCAGTTTGTTTTGATACCTACCTACTTCACTTTTAGATATGATTGAACTCCTAAAAAAAGAAAATGAGGATATCACAGTGAATGAAATTTTTAATAGAATGATCTGAATCATATATTTAATGTAGTATCAATTAACAAAGAAACTTAGCATTATCCCTTTTCTTGACCTAAAAAGGAAAATAACCTATTGAGTACTCACATATAATTCACCAATATGAATAGACTCTAACTAAGCTAGCTAGATACCTTAGTAAATTTGATTATTGAATAGATCAAAAAATTTTATACTAATCAACCACGGTCATACAAGCTTCAAAGAGAAAGCGAATTGAAATTTAATTCTAATAAGAATATTTCATTATAATCATATATTAATAATTAAGTCGAATTTACAAAAATACTGATTAGCATTTTTCAAAAATTCAATTAATAAAAGGAACCAGATTTACTAGCTGATTTTAGAGGAATTACTTTATTTAAGTATATTTAATTCTTAAATATTGTTTTATTCAATAAGTAGGCAGGTTATTTATTAACTTATCAAAATATGATATTTATAAATATAAAAAATAATAATAAATATATCTATTAATATTTTAGGATAATTTATCCGATTACAAAATATAATAAAATATATTTTATTACAGTATTCAAATATATTTCTTTATAATTATTTATTCTTCCTATTTCACCACATTTTAATCATCAATAAAATAATTTTAAGGCAACTAATCTTTTTGATTTGAGACACTTTACTTCCAAATATTACGATGTATTGAGTTAGTTTTTCCTTTTAATATTAATTTGGGTAAATAAATAAATTAATAAAAAAAATAAATAGAATAAAATTATTTGATAAAATATTAGATTTTAAATCAATAAAAAAAGCCTAAGTACAATAAAAAATAAAAAGAAAAATAAATCAAATTAAAAGCTAATAAATAAATAAATAAATTAAAAAAGTTAATTATTTTGTTTTAAATTCAAAAAATATTGCTATCCAAAACAAATAATCTGTTTTTACACAAGATTAAGTTTCAATTTTAAGAGTTTAGTGCACTTTCCAAAACTAGAAACTAAACCTGATGCGCCTATATCACCAATTTAATTTTTACTTTTTAATATTGAAGAAAAAATGAAGAATTAATTAGTTAGTATAAAACATGATAATAAAAGAAATGAATTAATTAAAAATAAAAGCAAAAGTTTAAAATGAAAAAACGAGATAAATTAAGAAACAAATAAAGAAATAAGTAAAGAAAAAAAACACTAGCAGAATAAAAAAAGAAAAATAAATCAAATAAAATGCTAGTAAATAAATAATTTGAAAGATTAGTTATATTGTTTTAATAATTTTATATTAAAAAATACGACAATTAAAATCAATGAAACTGTTTTTACTAAAGATCAAGTATTAAATTTTAGAGATTAGTGCACTTTCCTAAACCAGAACCTAATCCTAATGCACCTCCATCACCGATTTAATTTTTCCTTTTTAAATATTGAAGAAAAAATTATTAATTAGTTAGAAGGAAAAAATGAAGAAAAAATATGAAATACTAAGAAATTAACAACAAAAGAAAAAGCTAAAAATGAAAAAATGAGTTAAATTAACAAATAAAAAATAAATCAAATAAAAAAAAGCAAATAAATAAGTAAATTGAAAGAGTTAGTTAGTTTTATTGCTTTAATATTTTTATACTCAAAAATATTACAATTAAAATTAAAGAAGCTGTTTTTACTAAATATCAAGTGTCAAATTTGAAAGATTAATGCACTTTCCTAAATCAGAACCTAGTCCTAATGCACCTCCATCACCAATTTTATTGTTCCTTTTTAAATATTTAAGAGAGATTGTTAATTAGTTAGAAGGAGAAAATGAAGAAAAAATATGAAATACTAAGAAATTAACAACAAAAGCAAAATTTAAAAATGAAAAAATGAGTTAAATTAACAAATAAAAAATAAATAAACAGTTTTTACAATAGATTAAGTGTCAAATTTGAGAGATTTTTACAATTTGCTAAACCAGAACCTAAACCTGATGAACCAATAGCACCAATTTAAGTATTGCTTTTTAAATATTGAAGAAAAAATATATAGTTAAAAGCAAAAGTTGAATATTAGCAAATAAATGAATTAAATAAAAAAACAAAAAAACAAAGAAATAAATAAAAAAATAAAAATAAATCAAATAAAAAGCTAATAAATAAATAAATAAATTAATTAAAAGAGTTAGCTAGTTATATTGTTTTAAATTCATTTTTATATTCAAAAACATCACAATTCAAAACAAATAAACTGTTTTTACTTAAGATTAAGAGTCAAATTTGAGAGATTAGTGCACTTTCCTAAACCAGAAGCTAAGCCTAATATACCTTTATCACCAATTTAATTACTACTTTTTAAATAAAGCAGAAAAAAACATATAATTAATTAGTTATTTAATTATAGAAAAATATATAAGAAATATAAGAAATTAATTAATAATAAAGCAAGAGTTGAAAATAAAAAAAATGATTTAAATTAAAAATTAAACAAAGGAATGAATAAATAAATAAATAAATAAATAAAAAAGAAAAACAAGCAGAATAAATAAAAAAAGAAAAATAAATAAAATAAACTGTTTTTACCTTAGATCAAGTTTCAAATTTGAGAGATGAGCGCACTTACCTAAACCAGAACCTAAGACTGATACACCTTATTTATTTTTATTGTTACAAGTTTTTTTGAAAATATCTATGAATTTATCCTTTAAGGTACTTTTTTTATTTTTATTTCCAAAAAAAAACTCTAAGAAAAAAAAAAAATAATTAAAAAAAATTAATAAAAAAATAAACAATAATTAATAAAACAAATTAAACTTAAATTAAAGATATGTATTTAATTTTAAATAATATTTATGAGTGTAGAAATACTTGTATTTAGGTGAGTGTATTTTATTGTTATAATCGTCAATTTAATTTTCCCTTTTTAAATATTGAAAAAAATAATTATTGTAAATTAGTTAAAATGAAGGAAAAATTGAAGAAAAAATATGAAACCATAAGAAATTTATTTATTAATAATAAAAGCAAAAGTTAAAAATGCATAAATATGTTAGATTAAAAAACAGACAAAGAAATAAATTAATAAATAAATAAAAAAGTAACATAAGCAGGAAGGATAAAAAGAAAAAAAAAATAAATCAAACAAAAAGCAATTAATTAAATTAAAAGAGTTGATTATATTGTTTTAATTTAATTTTTATCTTCAAAAAAGTCATATTTATAAAATAAATAAACAAATTATTTCTACCTTAGATCAAGTGTCAGATTTGTAAGATTAGTGCACTCTCCTAAAGCAGTACCAAAGCCTGCACTTATTGCACCAATTTTATTGTTCCTTTTTAAATATTGATGAAAAAATATACAAATAATTAGTTAGAAGGAAAAAATGTAGAAAAATATGAAATAATAAGAAATTAGTTAATATATAATAGTAAAAATTTTAAATGGAAATATGAGTTCAATTAACAAAGAAATAAATAAATAAATTAAAACAAGCATAATAAATAAAAAGAAAAATAAATCAAATAAAAAGAGTTAATTCTTTTATTTTAAATTCCTTTTTATATTCAAATAATATCGTGATTAAGAAACAAATAAATTGTTTTTACTAAAGCTAAAGTGTCAAATTTGAGAGACCAGTGCACTTTCCTAAACCAGAGACTAAATCTTATGCACCAATTGCGCCAATTTAATTATAACTTTTTAAATATAGAACAAAAAATATGTAGTTAATTAGAAGGAAAAAATGAGGAATAAATATAAAGTTATTAACTAATAATACAAGTAAAAATTGAATATGTAAAAGTAAGAAAAATTAACAAACAAACAAAGAAAGAAATAAAAAAGAAACATCAGAAGAATAAATAAAAAAAAGTAAATAAATCATATAAAAACTAATAAATAAATTAAAAGAGTTAGTTATAATATTTTAGATTCTTTTTATATTCAAATATATCAAAATTACAATAAAAATAAACTGTTTTTACCCAAGATTAAGTGTCAAATTTGAGAGATTAGTGCATTTTCCTAAACCAAAACCTAAGCCTGATGCACCAATTGCACCAATATTATTTAAGCTTTTTAAATATTGTACAAAAAATTATGTTAATTAGTTAGTTAGTAGATGAAAAAAATGAAGAAATAATAAGAAATTAATTAATATATAAAAGCAAAAGGTTAGTTTTATTGTTTTAAATTCATATGTGTTTTATGTCTTTTTTAAAAAATATTAAATGTCAAATTTTAGAGATTAGTGCATTTTCCTAAATCAGAACCTAAGTTTAATGCACATTAAATAAAAAATAAACACAAA